GCCGACGCGGGCTGAGGGGGGCTGATGCGGGCTGTGGGAGGGCCGATGCAGGCTGAGGTCTCTGCCTGATGAGCACTTCAGAGCAATGTGACTGGCTCCATTTCAGCCGCAGTTTGAGGCTCACTGTACAAAGGCTCTTGTAGAAATAAATACTGAAGGTTATTCTTCAGAGAGGTGGAGTTGAGCTTGAAAGACAGGAGAGGGATTCAAAAAGCAAAGAGGGCTGGGTGCCGGCTCACACTTCTAATCCCAGCACTGTGGGAGGCCGAGACAGGTGGATCACTTGAGGTCAGGAGTTTGAGTCCAGCCTGGCCAACATGATGAAACCCTGTCTCTACTGAAAATACAAAAATTAGCCGGGTGTGAGGGCAGGCACCTGTAATCCCAGCTACTCAGGAGGCTGATGCACAAGATTGCTTGAACCCAGGAGGTAGAAGTTGGAATGAGCTGAGACTGCGCCACTGCACTCCAGCCTGGGCAACAGAGCAAGACTCCATCTCAAAAAAAAAAAAAAAAAGCAAAGGTAAACAAAGAAACTGGTAAATATGTGGTGAAAATGAAATACATTTCATTTTCATACATTAACATACATTTGGTGGGCCAGGCGTGGTGGCTCACACCTGTAATCCCAACACTTTGGGAGGCCGAGGTAGGTGGATCATGAGGTCAGGAGTTCAAGACCAGCCTGGCCAACATAGTGAGACCCTATCTCTACTAAAAAACTTACAAAAATTAGCCGGGCGTGGTGGCATGTACCTGTAGGGTCAGGTAATTGAGAGGCTGAGACAGGAGAATCGCCTGAACCCGGGAGGTGGAGGTTGCAGTGAGCCAAGATTGCATCACTGCATTCCACCTTGGGCAACGGAGTAAGACTTCATCTCAAAAGAAAAGAAAAGCAGCATTGGTTATGTTAAATCAGTGGTAATCATTATTTATATAGGGAATAGAAACTACCAGAAGTAACACAGCCCAGGGTGAAGCTAGACAGTCAAGGCATTGAGATCTCTATATTAAGAAGAAAGTAAAGAGATGTGTTAACTTCAGACTTTATTGCAGCAGATGTGAGTGTTGAAAATTTAAGGTTACCATTCAAAATGTAGAAACAGGTTGCAAACCTTCCAAATAAATACCAGGCAGAAAGAATACTTTCTGAAAACCACCTTTTCCTGCTTTAATCAAAGGCATAGAAGGCTGGGGGAGGTGCGAGTAAACCAGAGCAGGAACTAAAAATCATAAAATAACATGGCAGCAGCAGTTGTCAGTAAACAGAACTCACCAGCTCGAAAGAATGTGAGATTCGAGGGATTTTTTTCTTTAATTTGGCTATGTGGTGTATAAGAGACACATCCAAAACAATGGTGTTGAAAGTTAGGAGTTGGAAACAAGACACTAGGTAAACAAGACCCTAGGTAAACTAAGAAAGCCGCTCTAGCTATAGTCCTACCTGCCGCAGTTACAGTGATGCTATGCAGAATATACTTCAAGATGAAAGAGAACAGGTAGAAATGTGAAGGGTTACCGCAGACTCACAGAAATTCTCTGGACCTAAAGGCTCAAGGAACGTAGATTAAAGTGGACCATCCTCACTGGTGCCATGGCTTATGCCTGTAATCCCAGCATTTTGGGAGGCTGAGGCAGGAGGATTGCTTGAGCCCAGGAGGTTGAGACCAGCTTGGGCAAAAAGCAAGACCCCGTCTCTCTAAGAAAAACATATTAAAAAAAACTAGGCCTGGCGCAGTGGCTCACACCTGTAATCCTAGCACTTTGGGAGGTCAAGGCAGGCGGATTGCCTGAGCTCAGGAGTTCGAGACCAGCCCGGGCAACATGGTGAATCCCCGGCTCTACTAAAATACAAAAAATTAGGCATGACGGCATGTGCCTGTAGTCCCAGCTACTTGGGAGGCTGAGGCGGGAGAATCACTTGAATCCAGGAGGTGGAGGTTGCAGTGAGCCAAGATCACACCACTGCACTCCAGCCTGTGCGACAGAGTGAGACTCTGTCTTCAAAAAAAAAAAGAAAAAAAAAAAACTAACTGGCAGGTGTCTGTAGTCCGAGCTACTTGGGAGGCTAAGGTGGGAGGATCACTTGAGCCCAGGAGATTGAGGCTGCAGTGAGCTAGGATCGTGCCACTGGTCTGGCTCTAGCCTAGGTGACAGCGAGACCCTGTTTGTAAAAACAATACTTTTTTTTTTTTTTTTTTTTGAGACAGAGTCTTGCTCTCTTGCCCAGGTTGGCATGCAGTGTCATAATCTCAGCTCACTGCAACCTCCACCTCCTGGGGTTAAGCAATTCTCCTGTCTCAGCCTCCCGAGTAGCTGGGATTACAGGTGCCCACCACCATGCCCGGGTAATTTTGTATTTTTAGTAAAGACAGGGTTTCTCCATGTTGGCCAGGCTGGTCTGGAACTCCTGACGTCAAGTGATCGCCCGCCTCGGCCTCCCAAAGTGCTGGGATTAGAGGCGTGAGTCACCACCGTGCCTGGCCAATAATAATTTTTGAAAAGCAAAAATAAAATCAAAGGAAAGTTTAGAAAATAAAGGGAAAATCTCACAGCAAAATGACAGGTAATGATACGAAAAAAAAAAAATAGAGGCTGAGTGTGAGTGTTGCAGTATTCAAATAATGTAAATTACGAAAAGAGAAAAATATCAATGGAAATTCAAGGAAAAGTGCGGCCAAGAAAGACGTCCTTCACTAGATGAACTTCACTAGATAAACTCCGTGCATCCAGATGGTGGAACATTATTTAGTCCTGAAAAGATGTTCTCAAGCCTTGAAGAGGCCTGCAGGAGCCTTAAGTGCGTATCGCTGAGCGAGAGAAATTATTCGGTGCGACCCTAACTCCGACATCCTGGAGAAGCAAAACGGACCAGATGCGTGGAATGAGCTCCCACGTTCATGAGGGCAGGTTTCTGGCAGTGGCATTGGGAGGCTTTGTTCACATGAATCTCTGTGCTTGTCTACCTTGTTTAAGTTCCTTACAAAGAGCATGTGCCAGTTTTACAGAATGAAGGGAGGGGATTTTCTGATGCGTAGGGTGGAGGAGCCAAGATGCCGGGACCCGGGGACGTGAGCGTGTTGGTTCTGGCGGCGGGAAGACGGGCGGTCGCTGGGACGTTTCAGCTCTCCGCGTCTCTAACGCCCCACCCCGGGAAGGACCCGGAGGGGACCACCGCATGTGGACGCACCGGGAAGCACAGCCCGTGGGCCGCCGCTCAGGCCGTGGGCCTCGGGGCCGCTGGACGGACGTGGATGGCGCCGCCGTTCTCTCGCGGGCCCAGGGAGGCTGTGCATGCGCGGCCCGGGCAGTCCCTGCGAGCCTGGGCTGCTGCTCGTGTGGGGGGCGGCGGCCGCCAGGCTGAGCCTAGAGCTGTGGGCTGCCCCCGGGTTCCTGCCTCGGGACGGAGGAGGGAGGGCGCCGCTGCCGTCTCTCGGGGGCCTGACTCCCTCCCGGCTGCGCTGAGCGCCTGCGGCTCCGCTTGTGGCTGCTGCTCACCACAGGCTGGGCCGCCGGGCTGGGGGCGCTGCGGGCGGCCTCGGTCTCCAGGTCCGCCGCCGGGAGGGAGGGGAACGGGGCCCCGCCTTCGCGGGGTGGGCTCGGCCGGGAGGAGCGCGGAGCCGCCTGGCTGCCCCGGCGTGTGCGGCCGCCGTGGCCGTGAGGGCTCCCGGGTCCCCTCTGGTGGCTTTGTCGCAGGGCAGGCCGGCACGTGAAATCTGGCCAGAGGTGTTGCAAGCTGGCACGCTGAGGTACCTAGAATGGGTGAGGAAATGAATAAGCTTCGGGGGAAAAGAAACGATTGTGGAAACGGTGCCTTGAGGCAGGAGGAGGGAACGGGGCCAGGAGAGAGGAGCCGGGTGGGCCACAGGGACAGCCCAGGGCCCCTCGGAGCTCCGAGGCCGGGCGCCCTCTGTGTTGGGAGCGTGGGGTCCCCCTGACAGAAAACCTGGTGGGGAGTTGCGGGAGCGAGAGCAGCCTGCAGACCTGACCGAAGATGCGGGGAGCCGGCGGGAGACCTGAGACGTGGGGAAGTGGGAGGAGCCTGCAGACCTGCTCCTCGGTTTCCTCTGCTCCCCGCCACCGGCTCCCTTCCCGACGTCTTCCCTGGCTCTCCCCTCATGGAAACGCGGAGGACGGCCAGGGCTTCTGCTCTCCCCCGTGGCTGCGGTGGGTTCACCGAGACCCGTGTGAGAAGCTCGGGGTCTGCCCAGGTCCGAGGGCAGCTGTCTCATTGCTGGCTGCTGTGTCCACACAGCTTCTCGGTCCTTCTCCATCCTGTTCTTCCAACACCTCCGCAGGCTGTCTGTTCTTAGTCCAGTCGGGTGCCAGGTCCATCCCCCTGTCCACCCATTCTGAGCCACCTCCTGCCTTTGCTAACCTCGCACTCCCCTCCCAGCTGCCCTCCCCCCCCTCCCCCCGTCACATTTTCCAAACAAGCTGGGCAGTGGTCTCTCCAACCCAGCCCCGGAGCAAGGAGGCCCAGGCCCGGGGCTACCCGGCACACACATGTTGTGCGTGAGCTGGGATGCAGGCCCCACGCTCTGCAGAATTGTGCATTGAAGACACCAGGGCTGCAGAAAACTTGGTTAGGAGCAATCCGCGGAAGCCTGGGGTGCTGTGGTGAGCTCCGCAGGCGGCGGCCCCTGACCCTGAGGGTCCCCAGGGGTCCCGGGGTGGGCTCTAGGGCAGAACCATGTCCTCCAAGTAGAAAGCCTGACCCGGGTTGTGGCCTCCAGCAGCCCAGGAGGACCCCTAGCTGCCCCTTGGGCCCTGGTCGCCATCGATGCTCTGTGGGCCGCCAGGTGTCCTCCTGATGGGAGAGGTCACCATGGTTCCCACCCATGGTCTTCCTTCCCTGCCTGCGGGTCTCCTGAGTCTGACTCTGGCAAGAAAGATAAACAGGTGGCAGCAGAACCGGCTCTCTTTGTAATTGCTCTTAAATCTGCAACTTGGATTCGGTTCGTTTGATTGGCCTTTTCTTTTACTCTTCGTGCCCGCAGTGAAAATAGTGATCCGGGGAGACAGGAACACGGGCAAGACAGCGCTGTGGCACCGCCTGCAGGGCCGGCCGTTCGTGGAGGAGTACATCCCCACGCAGGAGATCCAGGTCACCAGCATCCACTGGAGCTACAAGAGTGAGTGTGGCGGGCGCCTCGGGGGTTCGGGCTCCAGGCCTCCACTTCCTTGGCCCTGGTTCTTGGGAGATGCGTTCCCCAGAGGGGGTCTCCCCAAAGAGTTCTTGTCTGTGAGGGACCCTGCTTGCGTGGGGGTCCCGGAGTGAACTCTGGGGGCTCTTTTGGGGTGGATCACCCTGCTGCCTGAGTGAGCTTCATGAAGCCCCGCTGAGCTGGGAGGCTCAGCTTGGGACAGCAGTGGCCGCAGGTGAGTGGGCACGCGGGCGCCTGGGGGACTGAAAGGAGGTGTCTTCTGAGGAGCACTCCCGGGCCTGTGCCCTCTTGGAGCACGTGGTGTTTTTTCTTGGGCCCAGCCCCACATCTGCGCCAGCACCAGAAACGGTAATAAGACCTTTGAGCCTTGCTCCTGCGGAAAGTTTGTGTCACTTAAAAGATTCAGTGAGGTGGGCTGGATGGTGGGGTAGACCCCTCCCCAGGGTCTCAGTTGGGTGCTGGTGCCTGGGTAGATGCAGGAAGGTGGGGGAGGTGATAGCTGTGGCAGCTCCAAGGCTCGTGCTGTGGGAGGCAGAGCAGCTGCCCTGTGTGTTCAGAATCCTGACAGTAAAAAGCCTTGGGGCTGGTTTTTTTTGTTTGTTGGTCTGTTTTTTGTTTGTTTATTTTTGAGACAATCTCGCTCTGGTGCACAGGCTGCAGTGCAGCGGTAAGATCTCGGCTCACTGGAACTGGGTTCAAGCAATTCTCTGCCTCAGCCTCCTGAGTAGCTGGGATTACAGGCGTCCGCCACCACACCCGGCTAATTTTTTATATTTTTAGTAGAGACGGGTCTCACCATCTTGGCCAGGCTGGCCTTGAACTCTGACCATGTGATTCACCCGCCTTGGGTTCCCAAAGCCCTGCGATTACAGGCATGAGCCATTGCGCTTAGCCAGGGCTGTTTTAAACACCATTCCTTTTCACTGAAAAAAAAAATAAAACCTAGTGGGTTACTAGTGGGAGGCAAAGATGAGTTTCAGCTGCCACATGGTGACAGCTGACGCCTGGACTGCTGTGCAGAACAGCCGTGGAGTTGCTGGGCATCTGCTGCTCTCTAGGGCCTGGGAAGGTGGTGCTGGGCTGACAGGACACAGAGCCCACAGGGCCGGCACGCAGAAGCTCTACCTGCCACCGCACTCTCTTCCTGGTTTGGGGTGAGGCTGATGGCAGCGTTTATGCCCCTCTGCTCAGGCGACGTGGATGTGGTTGGTGTGCAGATGCGGTTGGTGTGCAGGTGCCTGGCGGTGTGAGGGACCTGGGTGTGCCTCTCCCCTCTGGTTCTCCCTTCCCCTTGGAATCCTTGGGTGGGCGGGAGGCTCCATCCATCGGCTCCCCCAGACCCCAACATGCCCCACAATAGGGCACAGTCGTGGGTGCTCAGGAGGAGCAGGCAGCACCAGCAGGCCCAGCCGTGATGGTGCAGCATGGGGCAGGCCTGGGGCCTGTCAGGTGGCTCCGAAGGGAGGGTCTGGCCTCTGCCCTCAAGTGGTTACTTACATCCCACTCCCTCAAAGTGAACCAGAGGCCAGTCACTGGATGCAGAAACAGGGTCAGGAGAAGGTGACACAGGTGGGCCCGTTTGTTCACAGCCGTCAGCAGGAGCGCACCTGCTCTCATGGAGACTATGGGCAAAACAAAGACACCCACCCAGCCAGGAGGGTCACCTTCCAGTGTGCTGAGGCCAGGAGGGGCTGTGCCCAGGATCAGGGCCCTGCAGGGAGGGACCCAGGTTTGGGGCCAGGGAGGGAGGGGGCCGTGCCCAGGATCAGGGCCCCGGAGGGAGGGAGCCGTGCTCAGGATCGGGGCCCAGGAGGGAGGGGGCCGTGCCCAGGATCAGGGCCGGGGAGAGAGGGGCCATGCCCAGGATCAGGGCCCGGGAGGGAGGGGGCCGTGCCCAGGATCGGGGCCGAGGAGTGAGGGGGTTGTGCCCAGGATCGGGACCGAGGAGTGAGGGGGTCTGAGGGGGTCATGCCCAGGATCGGGACCGAGGAGTGAGGGGGTCGTGCTCAGGATCGGGGCCCAGGAGGGAGGGGGCCGTGCCAAGGATCAGGGCCGGGGAGAGAGGGGCCATGCCCAGGATCAGGGCCTGGGAGGGAGGGGGCCATGCCCAGGATTGGGGCCAGGGAGGGAGGGAGCCGTGCCCAGGATCGGGGCCGAGGAGTGAGGGGGTTGTGCCCAGGATCGGGACCGAGGAGTGAGGGGGTCTGAGGGGGTCATGCCCAGGATCGGGACCGAGGAGTGAGGGGGTCGTGCTCAGGATCGGGGCCCAGGAGGGAGGGGGCCGTGCCAAGGATCAGGGCCTGGGAGGGAGGGGGCCATGCCCAGGATCGGGGCCAGGGAGGGAGGGAGCCGTGCCCAGGATCAGGGCCGAGGAGTGAGGGGGTCTGAGGGGGTCATGCCCAGGATCGGGACCGAGGAGTGAGGGGGTCGTGCTCAGGATCGGGGCCAGGGAGGGAGGGGGCCGTGCCCAGGATCAGGGCCGAGGAGGTAGGGAGCCGTGCCCAGGATCGGGGCCCAGGAGGGAGGGGCCGTGCCCAGGATCGGGGCCCGGGAGGGAGGGGCCGTGCCCAGGATCGGGGCCCGGGAGGGAGGGGCCGTGCCCAGGATCGGGGCCCGGGAGGGAGGGGCCGTGCCCAGGATCGGGGCCTGGGAGGGAGGGGCCGTGCCCAGGATCAGGGCCGAGGAGATAGGGAGCCATGCCTGGGACTGGGGCTGTGGAGGGAGATACTGTGCGTTCGGTTTGTCGCTGAAGCTGTGTCTGAGCGGAGGCCTGAAGGAGCCGCTCCCTGTGTGGTCATCTTGAGGGAGCACATCCTGGGTTTCTGGACACTCGGAAGTCCTGGTGGGAGCTGGTGCCTACGGCGCACAGACAACCACACCAGCCTGACCGCTTTGTGCCACCCTGGGAACTTCATATTGGGCACTAATCTTAGGATTCTCCCTGTTTCAGCCACGGATGACATCGTGAAGGTTGAAGTCTGGGATGTGGTGGACAAAGGTGAGGCGTCTGTGTTCTGTGTCTGCTTCTCTCTGGGACTGTGTGCTCTGTGCAGAGAGGCTTCCTTTCTTTCCCCCGGTGCCCACGCATCACCCACTGTCCTCGTGGACGGTGCCCAGGGTCTTGCTGCTCTGCTCCCCTCCACATCCAGTGGTGACCCCGTGGCACAGCACAGCCCTCCTGTGGCGCCACATGCTTTGCTGCTTTAGTTAGCATCCCTCCCGCCTCTGAGTGACGGCATGCACGGTGGTGGCAGGTGCGGCCGGGGGTGTGCTTTGAGCCCCAAGGCCTGGGGTGCTATTTTGGGAGCCCTCCTGCACTGCCTGGCAGAGCGATCCAGCACCAGGTGGCCCCATGCCCACAGCCGAGGACCCAGCTCCTGCGCTCCGGAGACAGGCTGTCTAGAGGGATGTGTTCCCGCCAGGGATCCCCAGCCACACAGACCCGCGCTCTGGGGGCCATGGGAGGGCTGCAGCAGCCCCCGGGGTGTCCTCGACATCGTTGGTCTCCTCCTCAGCCACAAGGTCACAAGTTCCTCTAAGTCCTCAGAGTGGAGCTCACGGCCCTCCCCGGAATCGTGGTCTGTGGGCATGTGTGGTGTGTGTGTGCAGGGCCCTCCCTGGGCCCGTGGTCTGTGGGCATGTGTGGTGTGTGCAGGGCTGGCCACATGCACGCCCCAGCCTCGCAGGCCTGGCTGTGGCCTCGTTACGAGGTTCTGCTGGAAAGGCGGCCGCGGTCTCTGTGTGACGGTGTCTGTTTGGACGGCGCATGCTCCCCTTCCTCCACCTGTGTTTTGTTGGGGTGGGTTTGGCCATGGGGGTTCAGAGACGGGTTCTCATGCAGTTCCTGCAGGGGTGCTGGGCCCCTGCGGCTCCCACCATGCTGCGCTGGACTCTGTGTGGCCCATGCTGACCTGGTGTTCCAGATGCTGTGTCTGCAGAGCTCTGCGTGGTCTCTGGCGTTAGAGGTGGCCACCCACTGCCCCGTCATTGTCCCCGTCCCCACTGTGAGGGGAAGCTATTAGATCTGCCTGTGGCCCCCAGGTGTCTCAGGCGGGGCTGCCCTGACTCGCATCCTGGGATGCTTCCCCCATCCGGGGCAGGGTCCCTTCCGGAGCTGCAGAGATTTCCTGTGCCTCCCTCCAGCTCTGGCTCCCTGGCTGTGGCCCCCTGGCTTTGCCCGTGTGTGGAGCGGGCACAGGCTTCCCGTAGACAGGGGTTCGTATCTGGGCACTGTGATGGGTGTGGTCTCCATGGCTTAGGATGGGACCCCCTCCTGGTGGCCTGTCGTGCCTGGGGCTGCCGTGGAGGCCTTTGGGTGCAGAGGCCGCCCGGCCCAGTGCTGGGCTTCCTCTGGGGTTGCATGTGTACCCTTGCATCACCTGTTAGCACCCACCGGGGAGTCTCACTCAGCCTAAACCAGGGCCCCTCGGGAGGGAAAGGTCCCCCCAGCTCCATGACGGGGCCTGGCATGCCTTCCACTGCCACCCTGACTCCGTGCCCACTGTGCAAGGTGTGAGCACCGCCCACAGCAGCCGGGGCGGCCAGTGGGGGAGCGCAGTGGAGGGTGCTGAGGCCTCATGGTCACCTGGTGAGTTCTCGAGGGGAAGGGGAAGGTGAGGCCATCAGGCTCAGCGGGGGCTGCACGGGGCAGGCTGCCCGGAGGGAGGCTGAATGGAGGAGCCTCAAGGTGAGCCGACATCCCTCACCTCCGCCTGGACAGCCAGGGCCCGGCTCCCCTCCAGCTCTGCCTGCTCTCCCCAGAGCAGATCCGACCGGCCTCAGTGGCTAGCCCAGGGGGGTGCTGGTTAGGCTGTGGGCATCCTTCCTGGGTCCAGGCCCCAGACAGCCAGCAGTGCTGTGCTGAGCCCTTTGTGGCTGGACTAGGCAGGCTCCTCTGGGCTGGTTCTGTCTCCTGTACCTGTGAGGGAGGGGCTGACCCCCCTACCGGGTCACATCGTGGTGAGCAGTTCAGAAACAAACTGTGGAATAAAGTGGAGGTGGCGTTTTAAACACATGAGCCCCATCTGTTCTTAGGGGTTTTGTTTGTTGTCCCAGTCCGTGACTTCAAGACTGGGATCCCCAGAGTTCCCAGGATGGTCTGGAGCCCTTTCTCCTCAGGTCAGCATTGTGGAGATAGAGGGAGGGGCCATGGCCCCTCACTGGTCAGGAGAGCCATGGTGACCTTGATGGCAGAGGCTCAGGGGGACCCAGACCGTGGACACCACACAGCTGCCCTTCTGCCTCCCCAGGCCTCTTCAGGGCTGGGATCCCTGCCCTCCTCTCCTTTTCTCCCGTGTTGGTTGTTGCCTGGAGAGTCTGTGCGCTCATCTCCCTACTTTCACCCCAGGGGGAGCCCCTCACTTTCCCACCATATCCCTTGTACTTCCTCCCGCCCTGGACTTGGGGGAGCTGGGGAGGGGCCCTTCCTTCAGCAGCAAACCCTCCTGGTGCAGGGCTGTGGGCCATCCCACCGCAGCCTGTCCAGCAGCTGCTGAGCCCATGGGCCCCATCTAGCACCTTCTGTCCATGCCCAGCCCAGCCCTGCCCCCAAAGCCGACAGCAGGGCCTTGCCCAGGTCCCGCTGCTCCAGAGTTCGTGGGTGCCCGCACTGCAGGCTGCTTGGGGTGGTGGAGCAGGGCACCTGCCAGAGCTGGGGGCTGAGTGGCCAAGGGGGACCCATGCTCCTCCTGTGGCCCAGGGATTCCACCTCGTAATTTTTGTTTGTTTTTAAATAAGGAAAATGCAAAAAGCGAGGCGACGGCTTAAAGATGGAGAACGACCCCCAGGAGGTGAGTGTCCGGTGCACAGCAGGTAGCAGTGGCTCAGTGCCCTGGGGTGCGTGAGCCGGTGCCCAACACTTCACACGCCTTTGACCCCAAGCACCCCAGTTATGCTGTGGCCACGGGGGCCGCTGGGCTTCCCACCTGCTCCGCAAACCCCACACTGCCATGGCTGCATTTGGGGGTGGCTGGTGGCTGGCTCACCTGTACTAGACATTGTGTTGGACTGACCCCCTACTGGCATTTGAGTGATCTGAGAAGTATTTAAGTGAATTCGCCAAACTTTTATCCCAGTCACAGTGGGCTCGGCCCTTCAAAGCACAGGACACATCTTGCAGTGGTGGCTGTGGGCGTGTTTCTCTCCCTGGAGCCACCTGGGGCCAACCCAACCTGAGCCTGACGCACCCGGGGCCTCGCACCCTCCGTGCAGTGCATCCCACTCCCTTTAGAGCATGGGGTGGAGTGACTCTGCCCACAGCACTGCAGCCAGCCCTGTTTGTGGGCACTGGAAGCTTCCGGAATGTACATCTAGCCGAGGGCGGCTGGTAGTCCGGCGCCTGCCTCTATTTTCGAGTGGTGGTTTGGTCATCCGTGAGGCCTGGGGCAGACACTGCTGTGATTAATGTGAGGTCCTGAGTAGGGGGCTTGTTCAGGGAGCTGCCAGCGAGGCTGGGGTTGACTGTCAGACCCTTTGGGGCAAACCTGTGTTTAGCTATCCCATCTCTTCAGCGCATCGTTTCCAAATGGAACTGGCCGTTATCTTTCCAGATTAGAAAACTATCCAGCCTTTTCCAGGACTGTGGGCCACATGGGTGGGGCCCATCCTGGGCCAGTCTCATTACTATTCCCTCCGTCCCCAGGCGGAGTCCGACATGGCCCTGGATGCCGAGTTCCTGGACGTGTACAAGAGCTGCAACGGCGTGGTCATGATGTTTGACATCACCAAGCAGTGGTAAGCGGGAGCTGGCGGGGCGGCCGCCGGTAACTGTCACCCCCTAGCCCCTTGGGCGCCCTCTCTGTGCAGCAGATAACGGTTAGAGTGGCATCATTCTGCAGGGCCAAGGGACTCTTGCTGGGCAGCTGTGGCGGCTCAGCCACGAGGGGCAGTGGCCTGGATGTCGGACTAGGCAACAGCTATGTCTGTGCATATGGGGCGGGATGGCGCGGCCGGCTGCGAAAGGTGTCTGGGGCAAGGCATGTACCTTCCATAGCCCCATTATTCTTCCTGAAAAACCATCTGGGATTTGGCAGAAGCAAGTGGCTGCTTGTGTTGAGGGCTCCCCGAGACCTCCATCTTCCATGACCCAGGAGAACCCACGCCAAGATTCATTCTAGCAAGAAGATGACAGCAAAATCTGCTAAGGGCAGTGGCACTCAGGACTATCTCTGGGGGACTAGGCACAAGCGCCCAGAGGCCACTGTGTGGAGTCATGTGGGATCCACTCAGCTCCTCAGAAGTGCAGTGTCCCCCGGGACGCACTGGAGCCCCAGCGTGGGGGTGCTGCAGACACACACTTGGTGCAAGGCTCCTAGAAGAATGAGGGCCTTGTGGAGACCAGCCTCCTGGCGCGGGGCCCCTCCTACCCACAGCCAGTGCCTGGAGCACTAGGAGCAGCGCATTCGACGCGTCCAGGCATCTGCTCTTCCCAGCAGTGGGTCTGGCCTGGGGGCCTGGTCAGCAGCTTCTCTTACTTGGGAAGACCCCCACACCAGGGTTAAGCACACCGCCTGTCACGGGGCCGCACACTTAGCACGCATCAGCAGCCCAGGCCTGAGGGCGGCTTGCAGCGCCTGGCCGGCCATGCTCTGGGCCTCTGCCAACCTTTGCTAATGCTGGGAACCCTGCCTGCCCTCCCAGCCTGCAGCACCACCGCCAAGGACTGACTGACTGCAGGCACCCTCGGGAGAGCCCTTGGTGGGGGTGTGGCACACGGATGGCAGGAGAACTACGCACGGGGCTGGTGGACCCACCCGGGGCACGAGTCCAGCTCGGGTGCACACACGCCAGCCTCCCCTGGGCGAGCAGTGGTGCTGCTCTCCCTCCAGCCTCTCCTGTCTAGGCCAGCCTGCTGTCCTGGTGGGTGGGAAGTGGCTTTTCCCAAGCGAAGCTGAGTGTGGACGCAGAGTGGCCTCCACGACACCTCCCACTGCTGCCGCGGGAACGGCCTGGAGGGAGCTGCATCCGCCTGGGCTGCCATGTGAGGAGCGGGCAGGAGGGACAGCGAGACTCCAGCCAGCCTGGGAAGACGTGGCAAAGGCACTCACCTGTGGGCCCAGAGACCCTGTTGGCAGCACCAGCCTGGGTGGGCGATGCCTGTGGTAGCAATGCTTTGGAGCCCCTGCTGCCCAACATGAAGGATGGAAAACACCACTGGCTCAGACGGCGGCTTCTAGCGCCACGCAGGCCCTTCACAGCTGCAAGGAGCAGGAGACGCCAGAGGGCCGCCTGCTTAGGACCAGAGGTGCCCCTGGGCCGGCCTTGGTGAGGGACCGGTTTAAATGACTGTGCAAATGAAAGAAAACGGAGTTACAAACTTAGGATGCTGCGTTTTTCACCCACTTGTGTTGGCTTTCTCTCAGTCGGGAAGTTTTGTCACTTGAAGCGCTAGTTATTTCTTCACAAGCCTTTTGGAAAACTGTGCAGCTGAGAAACTGGCAGCTCCGCGCCAGGCAGATTCTGGAGACTTGCCATCCGTTCCCGGGGATGTCTGCTTAAGACAAGGCTCTCCAAACAGCCGCTTGACCGGCAGTAGCAGGGGCACCCCAGGGTGTCCTTGGCCTCCCCGGTGGGCAGGGAGCCTGGACGAGCAGCCACAGGGTCAATGCCGAGGGGCACAGAGGACAGTGTGGGATGAGGGTGGATGCAGGCAAAGCCAGAGGTGGTTTTGTAGGGATGTGGACGCGGGGCGCTCTGAGGGAAGGCAGGGACAGACAGGGGCATTCCAGTGTGGGGTGCGGTCAAGTATGTCCCTCAGGGAGAGGGATGGGCGGGGGCTGCAGGCTGGGAGGGGTGCGAAGGCCCTCGAGGCACTTCCTTCTCGCTCTGCACGCTCGAGGCGTGCTTCCGGTGGGTGGGATGTTGGAAATGAGAAGCAGCCACCGTCCTCGGGCCTGGGCACACAGTAGCTTCCCAGGGAGGGACAGGGCGTCGCAGAGCTGAAACTAAGCCAGGTCCTCACCTGTTCCCTGAGGACCTTCAATTATATTCTCCGGGAGCTTCCGAAAGTGCCCACCCATGTGCCAGTGTGCGTGCTGGGGAACTACCGGGACATGGGCGAGCACCGAGTCATCCTGCCGGACGACGTGCGTGACTTCATCGACAACCTGGACAGGTGAGTGCAGTGGCCCTGCTCCCAAGGGACCCTGCCTGGTGCTCTGGTGCGTGGGGGAGGGTGCTGAGGCAGAGGCCGGGGGAGGGGTTAGCGTTAGCACGGGGGCCAGGGGATGTCAGGTCACGCCGCGGCGTGGGGCTCACTGAAGCCTGGGTCTCCCCAATGGCATTGCCAGGAACTGTGCTGGGAACTGTGTGCCGGGGTGAGGTGCTGGCACCGTGGGGGTCACCTGCAGAAGGGTACTCAGCTTAGCTGGTTAGCAGGGCTCAGCAGGGTCCTGTGGCCTCAGGAGCCTGCAGGAGGAGGGAGGGCAGTGCGGACCGGCAGCCGTGGGCCCAGGGGTGGTCCTTGGCACCGGGGCAAGGGTCTTTCTCTTGCATCTTTCTTCCTTTCTGAAAGCAGACCTCCAGGTTCCTCCTACTTCCGCTACGCTGAGTCTTCCATGAAGAACAGCTTTGGCCTAAAGTATCTTCATAAGTTCTTCAATATCCCATTTTTGCAGCTTCAGGTAAGCACTCACCGTGTGGGGTGGAGTGGATGCTGGTCTCTCACCTCTTTCCAGGCGTCTCCCTGGACAGGCCTCCCTCCTAATGCCTGAGAAAGCTGTGGGCCTGCTCAGAGGTTGGCTGCTGGCAAGGGCCCAACGTTCTACTGCACCTGCCTGCTCTGGGTGGCAGAGGGTGCAGGGTCCTGAGGGCTAGACCCAGTTCCAGGAGCCCCTCCACCTCTGCGGAGACCCCTTGCTCAGTTTCCCCCAGTGTTTCTGGTTGCTTTTGTTTGTTGAGATAAGGTCTTGCTGTGTGACCCAGGCTGGAGTGCAGTGGCGCAATCATGGCTCACTGCAGCCTCAAACTCCTGGGCTCAGGCAATCCTCCCACCTCAGTCTCCCAAAGTGCTGGGATGTCAGGCGTGAGCCACCGAGGTACTCGCTGTTCACATCTCACATTTCCCTGGTGCTTGTGTCAAAACCAGGGAACTGGCCGGGCACGGTGGCTCAAGCCTGTAATCCCAGCACTTTGGGAGGCCGAGATGGGCGGATCACGAGGTCAGGAGATCGAGAGACGATCCTGGCTAACACGGTGAAACCCCGTCTCTACTAAAAAATACAAAAAAATAGCCGGGCGAGGTGGTGGGCGCCTGTAGTCCCAGCTACTCGGGAGACTGAGGCAGGACAATGGCGTAAACCCGGGAGGCGGAGCTTGCAGTGAGCTGAGATCCGGCCACTGCACTCCAGCCTGGGTGACAGAGCAAGACTCCGTCTCAAAAAAAAAAAAAAAAAAAAAAAAAAAAACCAGGGAACCAACTTTGGTCTGTGGACTAAACTCAACTTCCCTTGTAGAAACAAGGGGCCAGGCCAGCTGTGGCTGCAAAAGAGCCCAGCAAACGACGAGGCTTGAACCTCCTCGCCCTGGGCTGCCCTGACTGGGTCTGGGGGACCTGGGGCCCAGCCGCAGCTGTAGCAGCCTTGGTCTTTCTCCAGAAGGATGTCAGGCTTGCCCAGGGAAGGGGCTGTGCTGTCCTCCTGGTGTCAGAGGAAGTGAGGACGCCTACAGGCTGGGACTGCTGCTGGGGACGTTTCGGTGGGAAGGAAGGCCGGCAGTCAGACTTGTGCGGTGCCGGCACTCCTGGGGAGGCCCGTCCTTCCTGCAGAGCCGTCCCCTCATCACTGGGTTGGTTACTCCTTGGAGAGCTCCCCACTGCTCGCTGCTCCATTCCCTGATGGTTTACCCTCCAAACGCTTCCAGAGCCTCCCAGGGAGAGCACGGGGCCCTGGACAGTCTTGAGCTGGAAGCGTAGGGCTGAGCTGTGTGTCACTCTCCTTTTGCTATGGATGTGCTCAAGCAGATCTAATGTCCTCACCCGTCTCAGCAGCGGGACCCCCATTTCCTCTTTGTCTTGCCCCTGGATGGCCTGGAAGCAAATTTCAGGCCTTTGTGTCACCTAAAAATATTTCAAACACATCTCTAAAAAATCCGTTCTGTTTTTTTTAACCTGACCATAGTACCTAATGTAATACCTTACATTAAAGTCACAGGTTTTTCTTGGAGAAATAAGCCACAATAACAAATTTAAAAACTAAAATTTCCAAAGATTTCAAAGAGTTCTTCAGATCATCAGGTATTTAGTCAGTATCCAGAGTAGGATCCAGAGTTCACACATTTGGTTAAAATCACATTTTGTTGTTGTTGTAGCCATTTTCGGCGACCTTACTGACTTTAATATCCTTTTTTGGGGGGGTGGGAGATGGAGTCTCAGTCTGTCACTTAGGCTGGAGTACAGTGGTGCGACCTCACCTCACTGCAACCTCCGCCTCCTGGGTTCAAGCGATTCTTCTGCCTCAGCCTCCCAAGTAGCTGGGATTACAGGCACGTGCCACCACGCCTGGTTAATTTTTGTATTTTTAGTAGAGATGGGGTTTCGCCATATTGGCCAGGATGGTCTCGATCTCTTGACCTCATGATCTGCCCGCCTTGGCCTCCCAAAGTGCTGGGATTACAGGTGTGAGCCACCGCGCCCGGCCTCACGTTTTTATTTATTTTATTTAATTTTTTTATTTTTATTTTTTTGAGACAGTCTCGCTCTGTCACCCAGGCTGGAGTGCAGTGGTGCGATCTCGGCTCACTGCAAGCTCCGCCTCCCGGGTTCCCGTCATTCTCCTGCCTCAGCCTCCCGAGTAGCTGTGACTACAGGTGCCTGCCACTGCACCTGGCTAGTTTTTTGTATTTTTAGTAGAAACGGGGTTTCACCGGGTTAGCCAGGATGGTCTCGATCTCCTGATCTCGTGATCCGCCCGTCTCGGCCTCCCAACGTGCTGGGATTGCCGGCGTGAGCCACCGCGCCCAGCCCACATTTTTATTTTAAAAACCCCTCCAGGCTGGGCACGGTGGCTCACGCCTATAATCTCAGCTCTTAGGGAGGTAGAGGCGGGAGGATAGCTTGAGCCCAGGAGTTCAAGATCTGCCTGGGCAATAAATATAGCAAGACCCTGTTCTTAAAAAAAAAAAAATCTCTTCAACCTGAAAAAGCTGATTTAAAAAAAAAAAAAAAAGAGGCCAGGCAGGTAGCTGAGGCCTGTAATTTCAGCAGAGGCCACGGTGGGAGGATCACTTGAGCTCAGGAATTTGAAACCAGTCTAGGCAATATAGCGAGACGCCATCTCTATTAAAAAAGAGAGAAGGGGCCAGGCGCAGTGGCTCACCTGAGATCAGGGGTTCGTGAGGCTCTGGCGTTTGTATTTAATTTGAATCTAAAGTGAGCAGTGACATGGACCGGCCTCAGACCAGCCTGGGGCTCCAGGCCAGGAGGGCAGCGGTTTGCTCCAGAGCCAGCTGCCTGTGGGTGTGGGGACGGTGGCGATGCGTGGCCGGGGCTGTGTCCTGCCACCAGAGGTGTGCACGGCGGGGAGCAGAGAGGCTTTGTTTTCCAGGTGAAGGTGAGGCTTCTTCACTCTTGGAGGTGCGTGTGGGTGGGGTGCTTTGAGGTTTATGCCTGTGGCAGAGCTGTCCCCTAAGCCATGCTGGCAGCCTGTAGGTGTTGTGCCGGTCGCTGCAGAGGAATCATGTGGGCTTCTGTGGTTCCAGTGAGGCCCAGCCCAGAGCTCCATGAGTTACTGAGCACCCGTCCCTGCAGCATCTCCTGGTTTAGTCAGCAGGAGGCGTCCCCCGTGCACTCAGCTGCTGTCGGGCTGGGGCAGTCGCAGCAGGAAGGGCCCCTGCTCAGGCCTGTGTGCTCCCCTTCTGCAGAGGGAGACGCTGCTGCGGCAGCTGGAGACAAACCAGCTGGACATGGACGCCACACTGGAGGAGCTGTCGGTGCAGCAGGAGACGGAGGACCAGAACTACGGCATGTATGTGGCTGCGTCCGCCCGCGGGGTCAGTGTGGGGGCTGCAGGCCGTGGTGCCGGGCCATGGGCTGCACCAAGGAGAGGAACCCATTTGGAGTGCCCCCCGTTTGGGGTAAATTAGTTCTCTTGGGGCACAGGTGGAGGAGGGCTCAGGTTGGCACTGCCCCCAGCAGCCCCCTCAGTCACACCTGGCATAGACTCCTCGTGCAGGTCATGCCGTGCCTGCCGCTCTGAGCACCGCTGACCATGGCCAGGTGCTGATGCTGGTGGAGTCGTGCTGGGGCTGCCTGCCCGTCAGGGGCTTAGCTTCCCACGTTGATGCCAGTGTGGGGTGTGCTTTCTGGTCAGCTCCTTGACTTTGGGAAGCTCCCTGTGCTGAAGAGGCATACGGACCAGGACATGAAGGTCCCTGGTCCTTGATAGCAGAGGGCGGCTCAGAGCATCCTCCTGAGTGGGCCTGGGCAGCACGCGCAGCCCCGGGGGTTGCGGGCAGTGGGACAGCTGGCCGTTCTCTGCCTCAGGCTCCTGCACAGCTGGGGGCTTGGTGCCTCCCCTGGTGCCTCCCCAGGCAGGGACCGCGGAATCAGCGACCCTCCTGAGGCCCCCAGCAGGTCTCTGTTTGCAGAGGGAGAGCCCTGTGGGTCACCTCGGATCTGGCTGTTGGTTGAGACACAGCAAGAGACTGAGAGGGAAGGCAGTCTGATGCCTGGAGAGGGACCCATGGCTTCTGGCTCCCAGAATGGACCCCCCGGCATGGGCGCTTCTCTGTTGAACCCATCCTGGCATTTCCTGGGACTGAGAGTTGGGCCAGCTGGATGCTGCGATGGCCGCACGTGCTCCACCAAGCCCCAGCCCCTCCTCTTCCCAGAATCCCCCCTCACGGGAAGGTCCACTTGCTGCCATCTGGCCACCTCTGCATGGAGCCCCCAAAGGCTGTGCCTCAGAACAGATCCGAAATGACTTTCCGGGGAGCTGAACACAGGTATGCTGGTGCCTGCTGTCCCCGCCCTTCGGGGCTGCTGCTCTTTTTTTCTGAGACAGGGTCGTGCTGTGTTGCCCAGGCCGGAGTGCAGTGGCGTGATCTCGGCTCACTGCAAGCTCCGCCTCCCAGGTTCACTCCATTCTCCTGCCTCAGCCTCCCGAGTAGCTGAGGCTACAGGCGCCCACCACCATGCCCGGCTAATTTTTTTGTATTTTTAGTAGAGACGGGGTTTCACTGTGTTAGCCAGGACGGTCTTATTTCCTGACCTTGTGATCTGCCCGCCTCGGCCTCCCACAGTGCTCGGATGACAGGCGTGAGCCCCCGCCCGGCCAGCGCTGCTGCTCTTGGCAGTGGGTGGGGATGATGGCCCAGAACACGGCGGCTCTTCCCTGCCCTATCCGCAGCAGCAGAGAGCCCCTGTCACCTGCGGGCCTCAGTGAGGCGGGGGAGCCAGGCTTCTCACCTACCTTCTGCCTTCCAGCTTCCTGGAGATGATGGAGGCTCGCAGCCGCGGCCATGCGTCCCCACTGGTGGCCAACGGGCAGAGCCCATCCTCGGGCTCCCAGTCACCGGTGGTGCCTCCAGGCGCTGTGTCCACGGGGAGCTCCAGCCCCGGCACACCCCAGCCCGCCCCACAGCTGCCCCTCAATGCCGCCCCACCATCCTCTGTGCCCCCTGCACCACCCTCAGAGGCCCTGCCGCCACCTGCGTGCCCCTCAGCCCCCGCCCCGCGGCGCAGCATCATCTCGAGGCTGTTTGGGACGTCACCTGCCGCCGAGGCAGCCCCTCCACCTCCAGGTAGGCCCTGGAGCTGCCCCTCCCAAAGTGGTCCCGGTCCCTCACGCCCTCACAGGTGGGGCTCTGGGTCTCGGAGCGCTCCGTACTTCTTCCTGCTTGTCCCCGTCCCGTGGGCATGTCCCTGGTGGGCCTGGCTTGGGGTTGGGTGCAGTGAGGGTTCTGGTGCTGAGAAGAGGACCCGGCATCACTGTTTACAGAGCCAGTCCTGGCCGCCGAGGCCCCAGCAGCAGTGCAGAGCGTGGAGGACTTCGTTCCCGACGATCGCCTGGACCGCAGCTTCCTGGAAGATGCGACCCCCGCCAGGGACGAGAAGAAGGTGGGGGCCAAGGCTGCCCAGCAGGACAGCGACAGGTGAGGGGTGGGCCTGGACCTCCTCTCCCATTGCCCCCAGCCTCTAGGGCGCCCGAGCAGCAGGTGGGGTTGGCTTCCTGGGGGTGCAGAAGGGGTGCCCGGCTGGCTGGTCTCTGTTGACTGAGGACAGAGCAGATCTGTGGCTGGAGCAGATGAGGGAAGAGCTTAGACGGGGCTTCCAGACATCAGAAAGGCCTGGCCACCTGCTCTGCCCACACCCTGGAGAGGACAGGGGCACCTTGGAGTCTTCTGTGGGCAGATTCCACACGGAGGCCACTGGCAAGGCCACTCCAGGTGATACAGGAGGTTCAGGCCACCAGATGTTGTCTCCGCAGGGCCAGGGCCCGGGTGCTGCAGAGCTGGGGGCGGCTTCCTGCAGGTCCTAGAGCTGGAAGCTAGAGCTGCCTCCCCATCTGTCTGCCAGCCCCTCTCCCACCACTCTGCCAAGTTTCCCCGAACTCTGCCTGCAGCAAAGCCCTGCGTTTGGTCCCAGGTGTGGACTCCATTGGACATACTCCACCCCCGGTGGCCTCAGCACCTCAGCCTCACTCATTGCTGTGGGGCGGCAGCTTCCTCCAGAAATACACAAAGGATGGAAAGCCTGGTGGCCCTGAGCCGGGCCCGCCTCCTCCATGAGCGCCCACCTGCGCGGCCCCACATCCTTCGCCCATGGACCGACCACAGGGCAACACTGTGTCCGACCTTGAGCCGCTGACCCCTTTCTCAGCAGCCCTGTGACAGCCACGAGGAGGCTTCCCCTAGAACACAGCACCTGGGGCGGGGTGGCCCCACGGCCAGGGTGTGCCGGGTACCAGGGTGCCTGGAACCAAGGCCTGTGAGCCCGGCCGGCCATCCCTACCCTGTGGCCTCTGACCACTTTGCCCCCTGCTTTGCAGTGATGCGGAGGCCCTGGGCAGCAACCCGCTGGTGGCAGGGTTCCAGGACGATGTGGACCTCGAAGACCAGCCACGTGGGAGTTCCCCACCACCCGCTGGTCCCGTCCCCAGTCAGAACATCACTCTTTCAAGTGAGGAGGAAGCAGAAGTGGTGGATCCCCCAAAAGGCCCTGCCCCGGCTCCCCAGCAGTGCTCAGAGCCAGAGACCAAGTGGTAAGGGCAGGTGTCCCCAGGGGTGTGGCCTGGAGACCGGGGTGGGGCAGCTCAGGACACCTCCGGAGGACCCTGACTGACCCTCTGCTTGTCCACAAAGGTCCTCCACACCAGCTTCAAAGCCACGGAGGGGGACAGCTCCCACGAGGGCCGCAGCACCGCCCCGGCCAGGCGGTGCCTCTGTTCGCACAGGTCCGGAAAAGCACAGCAGCACCAGGCCCCCTGCTGAGATTGAGCCGGGGAAGGGTGAGCAGGCGTCCTCATCCGAGAGTGACCCCGAGGGGCCCATCGCTGCACAGATGCTGTCCTTTGTCATGGATGACCCCGACTTTGAGAGCGAGGCGTCAGACACACAGCGCAGGGTGGTGAGACGGGTCCTCCCCGGGCAGAGGTCAGCCAGGAGGCCAGAGCCTCTCGGTGGGTGGGTGCAGTGGGAGGAGGCTTCTGAAACAGGCGTCTCATGTCCCCACACTTGGGCCTTCCGGCTGGGTTCGAGACCCCACAACCCCTGAGGGTGTGGGAGGGACGACGGCCTGACCAGCTGCTCTCCCTGCTGCAGGATGAGTTTCCCGTGCGAGATGACCCCTCCGATGTGACTGACGAGGACGAGGCCCTTGCTCAGCCGCCCCCGCCCCCCAAGCTCCCTCTCCCCACCTTCAGACTGAAGAATGACTCGGACCTCTTCGGGCTGGGGCTGGAGGAGGCTGGGCCCAAGGAGAGCAGCGAGGAAGGTGGGCGGGGGCAGCGGAGTGCGGTCAGCCTGCTGGAGTCTGGGTAGAACGTGGGCCTCCTGCCAGCTGCTGGCCACTGGCCGGGGGCCTTTCCTGAGTCCAGGAGGCAGTGCCATGCTCCTGGCAGCCCCCTGCAGGAGTGTGGTCCTGTCCCTCAGCAGGGCCTCCTGGAGGGCTGGGGCTCACTGCTTTGTGTTTGAGCCACTGTCCTGTCTGTGCAGGTAAGGAGGGCAAAACCCCCTCTAAGGAGAAGAAGAAGAAGAAGAAAGGCAAAGAGGTACCAGCTACTCCCCTTCCTGACAGGCCAGGGCTGGGCGGTGTGTGGTCCTGGGACTGGGGCTCTGGCCTCCTGTGACTCCATGGCGCCCCCCTCCTTGTGCTCCTCAGCAGGAAGAAAAGGCTGCCAAGAAGAAGAGCAAACATAAGAAGAGCAAGGACAAGGAGGAGGGCAAGGAGGAGCGGCGGCGGCGGCAGCAGCGGCCCCCACGCAGCAGGGAGAGGACGGCTGCCGATGAGCTGGAGGCTTTCCTGGGGGGCGGGGCCCCGGGCGGCCGCCACCCTGGGGGTGGCGATTATGAGGAGCTCTAGGCCAACCGGGGCAGTGGCCGCCCTGGGGTGGGGGGCGTGCCTGTCACTGCCTGGGGAGGCATTTGCCTCTGCACCATCGCCTTTGCCGCTGCCCAGTGGCTGCCGTGTGCACTTCTGAGCTGGAAGAGGCTGGGCGTTGGTGTCCCCGGACTGGGCCTCCAGACCCGGTGTGAGCCTGCTCTGCAAGGAGGGAGGGGACAGCTGGCTTTGGCCAGGCTCGGTGGACACCCTGGCCCTCTCGGGGCAGAGCCGCCAGTCCCCAGTGTTTCTCAGGGATGTGACTGAGGCCCAGGGGCATGAGGGTCTGTTTACAGAGGCTGGGCAGGGGCCGCTTGGCTGCGGGGTGCACGCTGCCCCGGCACCTGCTTGCCCTCCGCGCTCACCCAGGGCCGCAGCATGCCTATGGCTCCGCTTCCGGCTGGGAGCCCTGAACACGGGTGTGCAGACCCACCCTAAAGGGCAGCCCAGGCCCCACGCTAGGCACGGCTGGCGAGAGACCGAAGGCAGCATGCAGGGCCTCTCTTGGGGATGGGGGCTGTTTCCCACAGCGGCCTCAGCTGCGCCCCCGCTCAGGTGAGCCCACAGGCGGGAGCTGGGAGGCACGCCTCCCAAACCCTCCACTCAGACCATAAAGCACTCCTGTTTCACTCTGCGTGTGTCTGTTCTTCTCCCTGCACCTGCTCCCGCTGCCTCGGGCCCAGGCTGCCATGGGTTGTCAGGGAAGTCCTCTGAGGCAGGAGGCTGCCCAGCAATGCTGTGAGGACATCCCACCAACCCTGGCCACACCCTGGGTACATCCCAGCCCACCTGTGCCAGGGCTCAGCAGCTGCAGCCAGCACGCTTGGGGGTCCGCAGCCCCATGCGGTGGAAGTCCAGTCTGCACGGCTCCCAGGCAGCCGCCTGCGGCACTGCCCCCCCTTCAGGCCCCTGCCCCCTCCAGCTGTCAGCAGCGCCCAGCCTCCACCCCCACAGCTACTGTTGCCATGAGAACCCTGCAGGGCGGGCAGGAAGAGTGCGCCAGTGAAGGGGAGGGGATGGCCAAGCTGGAGGCTCCTGTGCCTGGGAGCTTTGTGACCCCAGGGTGTGAGGCAGTCACTGTGGTCCCTGAACAGGTGCTGTGGCCCACAGCAAGCTTAGGAGCCTGGCCCCTGAGCCCACAGCCCATGAGGTCAGGGTCGGCTTCAGAGGTTCCCCTGGTGTGGAATGGGTCAACAGTACGTGAACTTGCCAGGATCACACCATGGACAGCTATGTTGGGGTTTCAGTGGGCCCTGCTTTGAACAACGCAGAATGGCGTAGGTCCTGCCCTTCGGAGCCAAGGGCATCGGCTACCCACTCTGCCAACCTAGAACGTTTCCAGGCCCAATGCCTTGGGGAGGGGCTGGCAGAGTGGGACGAGGACATTACCAGGCAGGTACGGTAGGTCACGTGCAGGCCTTCCCAGGCTGGCAGAGACACCGGATGCAGGAGTGGCCTCACCCAGAGAGGATGGCATCCTGGGGACACAGGAGGCTGCAGGGGCCATCTGGCCCCAGGTACCCACCGAGATTTTGGCACTGGCAGCCTCAAAGCAGATAGGGCCTGGGGAAAGGCCAGTGGGGCAGGGAGAAGCCCATCTGCCCCTGCCTCGCCCAACAGGAGATGCACATTCCAAGATGGCCCTAACCAATCTCTGCAGCCCAGGCCAGGGCTTGGGCCCCTCCTCTCAGGCAAGTGTGTGGGGGTGACACTGGCGGGACTGGCAGGCTGCTCCGGGCCACAAGGCTCCTGTTTAGACGCTGAGGTCTGCGTCTTGGGGATGCTGCAGGGACCCTGTGCTCCGCACAGCCCCAAATTGGAGCCTGTGCAGTCACGATCCCCAGCTCCACGGTGCAGCCCCCACTGGGCGCGGCCCCTTTAAGTACAGCTCTTTCAGCTGCCATTGGGGGCAGCACTGAGCAGCCAGGCCAGGATCCGCGCTGCTGCCTGGAAGCTTCTGCCGGTGCCGGGGACGCAGCAGTGCCGGGGACACACAGGAGCCGACCTGGGGGTGGCACAGCCCACCGGGGCACAGCCGGAGCAGCACCCAGGTAAGGGGCTGGGGGCCGAGTTGCTGAGTGTGTCATTGTCATGGGCGGGGGAGGCTGCCTTAGGGCGGCCGCAAGGATGGGGAGTCCCCGCCCCCAGGCAACACCGGCTGTATCCCTTGAAGGGCCGCTCCCAGCCAGAGCAGGGCTGGGAGGTGGGGAAGGCCTCCAGCCATCTCGGTGGGCTCCAGAAGGCCCTGGGCCCACGAGGGGGCCGACCCCACCCCCATCCCCACGGGAGAGGGTGTCACCCACAGCTTCAGCCAGCAAAGCCCACTGTCACCTCCCTGGGGTGGAGCCTCACACCCTGTCATCCAGCTGGATTCCGGCCTGGCCTTGAGCTTAGCATGAAAGAGGGAGCAGGAGGGTGGACAGTCCTGCCACGGGTGGGGTGGAGGGGGGAGATGGGGTGGGCGGGAGGCTGGGATGGGGACAAGACCTGGGACTTGTGGCCCTGACCCAGAAAAACAGCCCTGCTAGCAGGAAGCCCCTGCGCACCTGGGACACAGAGGGGGGACCCGGCCAGACCCCGAGAGGCCCATCCACCTGCCGCGCGAGGGGCCTGGCTAGGTACCCGCTTCCCCCAGCTCACTCTGGGGTAGACCCCTCCAGACCAGGTGTTGGATGTGCAGAGGCCAGGCCTGTGGCCACTCTCTGACGCACCCCCCAGCTGGCTCTGGGACCACAGAGGGGCTGGCAGTCCACATCTGAACCCTGGCCAGCCTGCAGCGTGGGGGCCTAAGAAACACAGGTTTCCATGGAACCTTCTCAGCAAAGTGGGGAGGGCTCTCTCCTGCAAAGCAGTGGGTCTTCCCCCACCCTCCGCCCTGCCCACCCCCAGTGGGCAGCTTCCGGGCCTGGTGCGCAGCTCAGGGGACAGGGGCTGCCACGAGCTCATGGCTCGATGACTTGGGACTGCCGTGCACACCCTAGGGGGGGGTGTCCTGTGCATTTACACAAAGCTGGGGCCTTGCTTCAACCACCCAAAGATACTTGGGGTCAGAAGAGGTGTCGGCAAAGGAAAGGGAGATTTAGGGCCCAGGTATGCTCTCTGGGGGCTTTTTTCTGGCCTGGAGCTCACGGGAAGTTGAGGGCACCTAGGCGTGGGTCCTTGCAGTGCTGGGGGAGGGGCTCTGTGCTCGGCCTGGCCAGCAGGTGGGGTGGTTGGTGTCACCCGCTTGGTACAGAGCTAGCTAAGGCTGAGACCCAGCGACTCGCCTTCGACTGTGCGCGATCGGAGGGGTCGCTCTGCGGTGGGCGCTGTGACGGGGGCACAGTCACTAATGTCTCGTGGGGCAACACCTATAAATAAGGCCCAAATGCGCCCCGTCCTTCCAGCTGCGGACACCAGAGGGCGCAGCCCCCAGGACCACGCCCCCACTCCCTTACCCCACCCGGAAAGGGGTCCACCCGAGCCGGCCCCGCCGTCACTAGTCGGGGGAGGGGAGGCCCTGGAGCTTCACGCAGGAGCTCCCGCCGCGGGAACCACAGCCACGGCTAAGCCTTTCTGGCCCGCCCGCCCCATCGCCGGGAAAGGACGGGGGAGGGGCAGGACCTGGGCGCCTGGACAGCTGGGTTCCTCCCGCAGGTGCTTCTGACCCCGGCATGGAGGAAGCGCCCGCATTCTCGGCCCAGGCCTGCAGCCAGGGCTACTCCGCCCGCTGCGCCCCAGGTAAGCCGGGCCAGCGTGGGGGAGTAGCGGGGCCTGGGCTGCGGAGGGGGCCGCCCTGACCCGCGTCTCCCCCCAGGGCAAAAGCCCCGCAAGGCAGTGTGAGCTGGAGCCGCCAGCCTGGGGACCTCTTTTAAGATGACCCGTACGGACCCTCCGGACCTGCTGGTGTCAACTGTGTACCAGGACATCAAGGTGGCGGCCCCGGGACCCGCATCCAGGCGCCCGCCATGTGAGCAATCCGTGGCCCGGCCTGCTGAGCCCGCCCCTTTCAACAAGCGCCACTGCCGCAGCTTCGACTTCCTAGAGGCGCTGGACGGGCCGGCCATGGAGACCCTGCCGGAGCCACCGCCCCCGGAGTCCGCTGTGCCGCGCGCCCGGACCCGCGAGGCCGAGCCACGCCGCCGCGCCCGCTCCAAGAGCGCGCCCCGCGCGCCCCCGGGCCTGACGCCCGCGCCCGCCTCGCCGCCGGTGTTGCCTCGCCGAGGGCGGGAGGCCCAGCGTGCGGCACGGGCCGAGGCATCGCCGCGCCGGGAGCCCGCGTACCCGGCGCTCCGCGCCCTCGCCAATGAGCTGCACCCCATCAAGTTGCAGCCGCAGCGGGGCGGCCCCGGCCGCATGGCGCCCCTGTGCGCCGCCGGCGGCCGCTGCGCACCTTCCGAGCCACCCGCGGGTCCCGCACCCCACGTGCGCTGCCGCCTGGACATCAAGCCGGACGACGCAGTGCTCCAGCACGCCGCCCGGGGCTCGCGGTCCTGCGGGCCCGCCGAGGCCGCGCCCTGGGCCCGCCCCACCCCGCAGTTCCACGGCCTCACAGTACCAGGGCCCCGCCACATGGCGCTGTCGCGCACCCCGACGCCCAGCGACTTATACTGTGCGGACCCCCGGGCGCTCTACTGCGACGGACCCCTGCCTGGGCCCCGGGACTACGCTGAGCGCCGCAGTCTGCCCTTCGCCACCCCGCCGGGCCCCACCCAGTTCTTCTACACAGAGGAGCCCGAAGGCTTCCGGGGCAGCTTTGCGGCCAGTCCCGGCCCAACATTCGATGCCTACTGCCCCAGGCCCTACCGGTCAGAGGAGTTCCCAGGGCCCAGTCCAAGGCGCATGGGCGGCTACTACGCAGGAGAGGTGCGCACCTTCCCAATCCAGGAACCGCCCTCCCGCTCCTACTATGGTGAGGCTCCCCGAGCCTACGGCCTGCCCTACGGGCCCCGCTATGTCTCCGAGGAGCCCCGGACCCACTCCACCGCCCGCCCCTTTTACACGGAGGACTTCGGACGCTACCGCGAGCGCGACGTCCTGGCTAGGACGTACCCGCACCCGCGCAGCAGCGCGGCCTGGGCGGACTGGGGCCCGCGACCCTACCGCACCCTGCAAGTGGCGCCGCCCTCTGACCCCGACCCGTTGCTCGCCTCCTGGCACGGCGGCACCGGCACCAGTCCGCCCCGGCTGGTCACCGACAGCCGCCACTACTCGCGCTCCTGGGACAACATTCTGGCACCGGGGCCGCGCCGAGAAGACCCGCTGGGCCGCGGCCGCAGCTACGAGAACCTGCTGGGGCGCGAAGTGCAGGAGCCGCGAGGCGTGTCCCCGGAAGGCCGTCGCCCGCCCGTCGTCGTGAACCTGTCCACCTCGCCCAGACGCTACGCCGCACTGTCCCTGTCCGAGACGTCGCTGACGGAGAAGGGCCGCGCGGGCGAGGGCCTGGGCCGCAACTGGTACGTGACGCCCGAGATCACCATCACCGACAACGACCTGCGCGCCACCGAGCGCCCGAGCGCCAGGGCCTGGGAGTTGCCCGGGGGCCGCACGCGGCCACCTCCCCACGCGGCCCCCGAGGGCCCCACCCCTGGCCGCCAGCGCAGCCTAGAGCAGCTAGACGAGCTCATTACGGACCTAGTCATCGACTCGCGGCCCCCCGCCGGCCAGGCCTCAGAGCCCGCGGCCGACTGCCTGGGCCCCCAGCTGCGCCGACTGCTGGACTCGCGGCCCGCGGGCTCTGGGGCCCCCGCGCTGGCACCGCCACGCTCGCCCCCCGCCTCGGCCGGCAGCGCCGAGGAGCCCGCGGCCCGGGGAGAGGCGGCCGACGCGTCCCCCGAGCCCAGCGCCGACGAGGACGACCTGATGACCTGCTCCAATGCGCGCTGCCGGCGCACGGAGACCATGTTCAACGCCTGCCTCTATTTCAAGTCCTGCCACAGCTGCTACACCTACTACTGCTCGCGCCTGTGCCGCCGCGAGGACTGGGACGCCCACAAGGCGCGCTGCGTGTACGGCCGCGTGGGCAGCGTGTGCCGCCACGTGCTGCAGTTTTGCCGCGACAGCGGCCCGGTACACCGCGCCTTCTCGCGCATCGCGCGTGTCGGCTTCCTGTCGCGCGGCCGCGGCGTGCTCTTCCTGGGCTTCCCAAGTCCAGGCTCCGCCGACAACTTCCTGCGCTTTGGCCTGGAGGGGCTGCTGCTGTCCCCCACCTACCTATCGCTGCGTGAGCTGGCCACACACGCGGCGCCCCTGGGCAGCTACGCCCGCGAGCTGGCGGCTGCTGGGCGCCTCTACGAGCCGGCAGAGTGCTTCCTGCTCAGCGTATCCGTGGCCGTGGGACCCAGCGCCGCGCCCCCGGGGACACCCGCTCTGCCCGCGCCCGCGCCACGCAGCCACGGGCCGACAGTGCGCAAGTTCGCCAAGGTAGCGCTGGCGGCCGGCAGCCCCGCGCGGCCGCCCCCGGCGCGGAGCCGCGAGCCCGACATGGAGACGCTGATCCTGACGCCGCCGCCTGGCACGGCGGGCCTGGATCAGGACGGCGAGGCGGGCCGGCGCGCGCGCGAGGTGGCCTTCATCCACATCCAGCGCGAGCTGCGGCTTCGCGGTGTCTTCCTCCGCCACGAGTTCCCGCGCGTCTACGAGCAGCTTTGCGAGTTCGTCGAGGCCAACAGGCGCTTCACGCCCACCACCATCTACCCCACGGACCGGCGCACCGGCCGCCCCTTCATGTGCATGATCATGGCCGCCTCCGAGCCGCGCGCGCTCGACTGGGTGGCCAGCGCCAACCTGCTGGACGACATCATGTGAGGCGCGGGGCCCACCAGGCCCAGCTCAGGCGCTGGCCCGAACCCTGCCCTGCCCACTCAGGCCCCGCCCGGCCCACCCAGGGCCTTCCCCGAGCCCCGCCAGGGCCCCACCCCGGCTTCTCCTAGGCCCGCCACTAATTCCCTGGCCCTCCAAGCTCCGCTCAGTACTGCCTCCAGCTCCGCCCAGGCCTCCACCCCCCTGCCCTCCGCCCCTGTAGTGTTCCTCACGGGCTCTTCGCCTTCCCACCCCCAGTAACTCCTCTCCCTTCTCCCGGGTCTCCTCCCTCTCCCAGCTCGCCCTCGAGGATCCCCAGAAGCCGGTCCTCGCCCTCGGTGCTCCCCGCTGGGAGGCGGGGTGGGCCTGAGGACCGCCCAGCTCTGCCTTCACTCGGAGGGGTCACTACTGCACAGACCCCACCCGTACAGATCCGGTCCCCGTCGATCCGCGGGGCTCTCGCTGGAGCCTCCCCGACTCCGGTTTCCCCTCGTCCGGAAGCCCGACGTAACCAAAGCCCAGTCTGTCACTTTAAACACGCCCCGCCCCGCCTCCCGCAGCTGGGGTGCCTCCTCTCTGGAGAACACCCTGGTCGACCTTCGCGCGTCGGTGTGCGCGAGCGCGTCCCGGCGAGGCAGTGGGCAGGGCTGAGGGTGCGCGGTGCGTTCCCGCTAGTCGGATCCGTTACGCCGACCACGCCACGCGCCCTGCCGTCCCCTCGCCTCCAGTCGCTGCAGTCTGGGCCCTGCAGGAGCTGGGAAAAGCCGCAGGGAGGTCTTCAGGCCGATATGCGAGTCTCCCAGCCGAAAGGGCACGGGACTTGGGCAGGGGAAGCAGAGCATGTCGGCCTGGCCAGAGCTGACACCTGGCTAGGAGAGGAAGGACCAAGGGACAGGGGGCGTTCCCAGGTGGGAGCCTGGAGGGGAAAGCGTGGTGCGAGCAGGTGAGGGAGCGAGCTAGTCGGTAAGCACAGAAACCCACCCGAAGGGGCTTGACCTGTCCCGAGAGGTCCCCGCACACCCGCTCTGGCCGCACTCCGTCCTGCGGGCGTGGAGGGGCAAGCCCGGGGGCCTGGCCTCCACCTGCCCCCCAAGCGCACGCTGGTCCGCGCCCGGGGCTCTCTGGAGGGTGGGGTGTCTGGGAGAGGGGTGGAGGCCAAACGCAAGGGCCCTCCTGGAGTCCCTAGCCCTACTTCGAAGCCAGGGAAGGGGACACCAAGTGAGAGAAACTGGGCACCCCCGCCCCCGCTCCCGCACCCGGCGCGCCCACCTCGTCCCCGCGCGTCTGCACCGGCCAGGCGTCCCGCTTGCCCACCCGCCGCCGCGCCCCGCGCCCCCTGCCCCAGGGCCTCTGCATTCGGCCCCACCCCAGAGGGCCGGCCAGGAACGCCCCTGGACCGAAATAATTTCCAGGAGGCAAGAGCTTTCGAACCAAGTAAAATAGAACTTGAATGTAGTGGCTGCTGTTGCCTCCTTGTGCGGGTAGCGGGGTTGGGGACGGAGGCGTTCGGGCGGTGGAGAGGGGAGAGAGGGAGGCGTTCGGGCGGTGGAGACGGGAGAGAGGGAGGCGTTCGGGCGGTGGAGGGAGGAGGGGGAGGCCTTCGGGCCATGGAGAGGGGAGGGGGAGGCCTTCGGGCGATGGAGAGGGGAGGGGGAGGCCTTCGGGCGATGGAGGCTGAGAGGAGGAGGCCTTCGGGCGGTGGAGAGGGGTGAGGGGGAGGCCTTCGGGCTTGGAGGGGGGAGGGGGAGGCCTTCGGGCGGTGGGGGCTGGAGGGAGGCCGCCTTCGGGCAATGGAGAGGGGAGAGGGGGAGGCCTTCGGGCGGTGGAGGGGGGGATGGGGAGGCCTTCGGGCGATAGAGAGGGGAGAGGGGGAGGCTTTCGGGCAGTGGATGGGGGAGGGGGAGGCCTTCGGGCGGTGGAAGGGGGAAGGGGGAGGCCTTCGGATGGTGGAAGGGGGAGGGGGAGGCCTTCGGACGGTGGAGGGGGGAGGAGGAGGCCTTCGGGCGGTGGGGGCCACGGGGAGGGTGGTCTTCGGACTACGTGCGGGACGGGAGATCAGGGCTGGGACGTCCCTCAGGCCTCCCTCCTTGCCCCAGCTTCGCGGGCCGCCTAACTGCCCCGCTCCAAGGGTGCCACCGGACCCCGCTGGAGAGGAACTTTTCCGTTGGCTGGATTTAATCACCCCCCATTCCCGGTTCCACGTTTCCTTTAAGTGGGGCTAGTGGGGCTGACAGGGCCGCAAGGCGGCAAGGAACTGGATTGCGATTGGTTAGCGCGTGCCTCGGTCGGCGGTACAATTGGCTGAGGCGCTGGGTCTTGGGCAGCATTCCCCGACGGGATTGGTCGCCGCTTTCCCAGAGCCCGCCTTCCGCAGTACAAGCGGTCCCCGGGTGGGGTGGGAGGAGGGGCCTCCGGGACGAAGAACATGGCGGCGGCGGACCTCGCTCACATTCCTGATGTGGACATCGACTCCGACGGCGTCTTCAAGTATGTGCTGATCCGAGTCCACTCGGCTCCGCGCTCCGGCGCTCCGGCTGCGGAGAGCAAGGAGATCGTGCGCGGCTACAAGTGGGCCGAGTACCATGGTGAGGGCGGGGCCTGCCGGCGTGCGAGGGGCGGGGCTGGCGAGGCGGGGGCGGGGCTTGGCGGGCCGGGGTGGGTGCTGCGGGCCACCGACTGCGTTCTGCTCCCAGCCCTGCCCCTGCTAGGTTTGAGCCAGGCTCAGGTCCTGGGCGGGAAAGGCGTGACCCAGCCTGACACCCCCCGCCTCACGACAGTCTCCCAGTCCCCGAGCTCGCCCCGGTTCCACCCTCCTCTCATTCATCCCTGTCCCAGCCTCAAGGGGCTTCGTCTCCTCTGGGGAAGAGGCTGTTCAGAGCTGGGATTTTAGACCTCTTCGGCCGGGAGTTCCTCCCGCGGCCTCCAAGGGCGGCCAGGGCACGTCCTGAGGTCGCCCTCCCATCCCAGCGGACATCTACGACAAAGTGTCGGGCGACATGCAGAAGCAGGGCTGTGACTGTGAGTGTCTGGGCGGCGGGCGCATCTCCCACCAGAGCCAGGACAAGAAGATTCACGTGTACGGCTACTCCATGGTGAGCCGCAGCCCCGTCCCGCCCTGCTGGAGGCCCCGGTTCCAGCTTCGAGGCCCACCTGAGTCTGCTGCCCTGACCCGTGGCCCCAGATGAGCACGCAGGCTTCCCGGGGTTCTCCCAGGGTGGGCGGCAGAGCCCTCCTTCCAGGGCCAGTTGTGTTCCTGCATTCCCCCATGGAGCACATGCCAGACCTGAGGGGCGGGAGGGAGACCCCCAGACATGGCCTGCCGTTCCCTCTCCCTGCCCCCGGAGGCCTTGCTGGGCTCTAGCTGTCCTCCAGCACTTTGCGCCCTGGGCCCCCAGAGGCAGTCAGTACCTGGGTGGAGTTCAGAGTCCCCGCCCGTGCTCTTCACAAAAACCACCAGCAGATGAGAGCCACGTGCGTCCCTCTGGGTGCCTCAAGCCCCAGGATCCACCCTCAAGGTTTGCTTGCCTGTGGAGGTCGCCTCTCCCCAGGGGAGCCCCCAAGGGCAGTCGGGATGGTGGGTTTGGCACCCCCAGGCACTGTCTCTCCCTTTCCCACACTCGCTTCTGGTGTGGCTGGTGGCTGGATGCCCAGAGCCAGGGCATGGGGTCGAAGGGTCCAGGTGGTGCCAGCAGGCGTCTTCTCTCTCCAGGCCTATGGTCCTGCCCAGCACGCCATTTCAACTGAGAAAATCAAAGCCAAGTACCCCGACTACGAGGTTACCTGGGCTAACGATGGCTACTGAGCACTCCCAGCCTGGGGCCTGCTACCTCCAGCAGCCATGTCAGAGCCCCCGCCTTTGCCTGCACCCCTTTCGGGGCTGGCCCTGCCTGCTTCTGCGGCAGCCCCTGGTGACCTGCCGTCTGCCAGGCTTTGCAGACAGGCTAGCTTGACCACAGAATTAAACGTGTTGCCACGCCTCCCAGTCTCTGAACTCTGTCCTTGGCTTCCGCACCGTGCGTCACCACCTCCAGGGCCCCCCAGACCCTAACTAAAGCAGGTGGGTGGGGGAGCACAGGAGTGGCCCCAGGGAGTGGCCGTGCACACTCAGCCCTTTGGGGTCTGATAAGGGGGCCCTGGTGATGGCCTGATTGCTCTTCCCACGGTCACTGTCCTCCAGGGCATCTTGGAGTCAGGGCCTGATCCCTCGGGCTGGCCAAGACCTGGGGCACCCACCAGTGCTCCCTCCTGTGAACCCATCCAAGGGCTCCCCAGTGTCCTGTCTGCCGTCTGCCCTGAGGCTTGGCCTGCAGGCTCCTTCCATGACTAGCCCCATGGGGCCTGCCAGTATCCAGGGTCAGGTCCCACAGCTGCACCTACCCTGCAGGTTCACGTTGACTCTGGGGGCCCCTCCCAGGTCCCTCCTGCACCCGGCAGGGCTGTGGGCACAGCATGGGTTCAGGCCTTGCCCTGGGAAGCCCCATACACAGTGGTACTCCGTGGGGTGGTGCAGGGGCACCCTGGGGGCCAGGGCTGGTTGTACACAGAGCATCCCCACCTTTTGTCAGCTCACTGGTCCTCCGGCCAGCCTCTCCAGACAGGCACTGTCGTGACCACATTTTACAGACCGGGACACCGAGGCTCAGTGACACAAGCTCCGAGGTCACACCATGGGAAATCACAAACGGCCTGGCTCCAAATGCCACACTCCTTCCCCAGCCTCAAAGAGCCCTGCCCCAAGTGTGGGTCTGTTTCATGAGGACCAGAAGTTTCTGGGCTCCTAGGGACCCTGTGCCTGGCACCAGATGGCACCTGGATGCTCAGGGTGAATGAATGAGAGGGTGATCCTTCAGAGGCAGGTGCCCCACAGCTGCGACCACAGGGGCCGGCTCTGGTGCACATGCTGGACTCCTGCAGCTACTGGACTGGTTGAGTCCTGACCACCAGGCTAGTGCCAAAGGCACAGTGAGAGGCCACGGCGGCCTCTGCCCACCCCACATTGCCGAGCAGAGTCCTAGTGGGGTGCCTGGGTCCCTCCCCATTCCAGTGGGAACTTCCCCTCCACCAGGCAGGGCAGGGCAGGGTGGAAGGGCCTGACCTTGTGTCTGAGGGAGCCGAGCAGGTGGGAGCTGACCCTGGGTCAGAGGCCCCCTCCTGGGGCCGCTATCCCGGCCTATGCTTGGCACCGTCAGCACTGGGTGGGGCCAGGCCGAGGGGCCCTCCACTTAAACAGCAGAGTCAGCGCGTGGGGCCAGTGAAGGCTCATAACCGCACAGAACTTCCCAAGCACCCTGTGTGGCCGCACTGGCCCTGCTTCCTCTGGCCCAACCATGCCTCTGCCCAGCCACCTGCTGCCCGCCCTGGTCCTGTTACTGGGTAAGTCGTTTGTCTCACTCCTGAAGCAGGACAAGGGGCTCTGGCTTCTGAGCCTACCATCTGTGTGGCAGTGATGGGCACCAGGGCTGACGCCTGAGCCCCAAAGGGAAGGTGGTTTGCCAGGCACTGCCTTGGCCGGTCTGCAATGGGGGTGACCTGGAATCAGCCCATGGGGTCCTCAGGCCTGCCAAGCAAAGGAAGAGACAAGACTCCCCTCCCAGTCTGGGACAAGAGGGCTCAGGAGGTGCCCCCCAGCTCTGTCAGCCTTTGTCTGCCACCCTTGGACTGGGCGGAGCCTGTGGAAGCCCCTGGGCCACCCATTGGTGCCTCCCATTGGGGGTCACCCTCCCAGTGCCCAGTTCACTGCTGGGCACGCTGGGTTCCTGCTACCTTTCTGGGGGTGCCCATGGCAGGGTGCTCATCCCCACACAGGCCCAGGCCCTCCTCCCCAGCCTCTTCAGGGCTGGAAACAGGAGCATGCTCTGCTTGGTCCGGAGCCGGGTGGGAGTTCTCTGATGGGTCCTGGTCCCTCCCTGCCCCATCTCCTGGTCTGAGAGGCTTCCCTGGACAAAAGATGTCCAGTGCCAAAACTGAATAGTCCTAGGCAGGCTGGGATGGCTGATCACTCTGCACCCAGGCCCCCTGGCTGTCACCCTCCCCGCAGCAAGATCCCCAGGCTGGGCCTGGGTCCCCAGCCACTGCAGGAGCCCCGGCCAGGTTGCGTGCAACTTCGTGTGTGACTGCAGGGACTGCTCAGATGAGGCCCAATGTGGTAAGCCAAGGCCAGATGGGCGGGCAGGGCCAGTGTGAGCAGGTCTGGCGCACACCTGACCACCCACTCTCCCAGGTTATCGTGGGGCCTCGCCCGCCCTGGGCACCCCCTTCGCCTGCGACTTCGAGCAGGACTCCTGCGGCTGGCGGGACATTAGCACCTCAGGCTACAGCTGGCTCCGAGACAGGGCGGGGGCCGCACTGGAGGGTCCTGGGCCTCACTCAGACCACACGCTGGGCACCGACCTGGGTAAGGCCAGGGCGAGTCTCTGCGCGCCCCTGTCTCAACACCCTCCTTGCTCCCTGCCCTGTCTCCTGACCTCTCACCTGGGCCAGGCTGGTACATGGCCGTCGGAACCCACCGAGGGAAAGAGGCGTCCACCGCAGCCCTGCGCTCGCCAACCCTGCGAGAGGCAGCCCCTTCCTGCAAGCTGAGGCTCTGGTACCATGCGGCCTCTGGAGGTGCACCCTGGACCCCCAAGGCTCATGGGGGGTGCCCAAGGGGAGGGCGGGTGGGGACAAGCAGGGCCGCAGCTGCCCTGGGACCCCTGACATTGCAGATGTGGCTGAGCTGCGGCTGGAGGTGACCCATGGCTCAGAGACCCTGACCCTGTGGCAGAGCACAGGGCCCTGGGACCCCGGCTGGCAGGAGTTGGCAGTGACCACAGGCCGCATCCGGGGTGACTTCCGAGTGAGCTGGGAGGGTCTGGATGAGTGGGAGCCTTGGGGGGGTCTGGGCCCTGACTTAGGTCCTGAGGGCCTGTTCTCTTCAGGTGACCTTCTCTGCCACCCGAAATGCCACCCACAGGGGCGCTGTGGCTCTAGATGACCTAGCGTTCTGGGACTGTGGTCTGCCCAGTAAGGCACCGCCTCTTCCTGTTCCACCCCCGGGAGGGCCCCGCCTGCCCACTCCCCTGCCCAGACCCTGTCTGCCCCCGAGTGCTCTCCCACTCCCGGGGCCTCGGTGAAGGGTTAACCCTGCCCCACCCAGCCCCCCAGGCCAGCTGCCCCCTGGGACACCACCACTGCCAGAACAAGGTCTGCGTGGAGCCCCAGCAGCTGTGCGACGGGGAAGACAACTGCGGGGACCTGTCTGATGAGGACCCACTCACCTGTGGTGAGGCCAGGGTGGGGGCCCAGGGTGAGGCAGGGACACTGGACACCTTGGTGGGGGCCCTAGCACTCATCCAGGAGGGGGCACCTTGGATCCTTGGGATGATCCTTCTGGGGGTGTGGTTGCCAGGGCCACCCTGGAGCTGGGGCCATACGGCTGCAGGAAGCACTGCCTAGTGGCCCCGACACCGCCACCTCCCGCCCTAGGCCGCCACACAGCCACCGACTTTGAGACAGGCCTGGGCCCATGGAACCGCTCGGAAGGCTGGTCCCGGAACCACAGCGCTGGTGGTCCTGAGCGCCCCTCCTGGCCACGCCGTGACCACAGCCGGAACAGTGCACAGGGTGAGGCCCACAGGGGACCCGGCCCAGGCCCCGTCCACGTGGCCACAGCCCAGCGGCTGTGGCCCACTCCCGCTCTTTCCCGCAGGCTCCTTCCTGGTCTCTGTGGCCGAGCCTGGCACCCCTGCTATACTCTCCAGCCCGGCATTCCAAGCCTCAGGCGCCTCCAACTGCTCGGTGAGATGGGTGGGGCTCACAGGGCCTCCGTGCTGGCTGCCCAGGTGCAGGGCCCCCAGCCAGCTCTTGGTTCCACAGCTGATCTTCTATCACTACCTGCATGGCTCTGAGGCTGGCTGCCTCCAGCTGTTCCTGCAGACTCTGGGGTCCAGTGCCCCCCAGGCTCCCGTCCTGCTGCGGAGGCGCCGAGGGGAGCTGGGGACTGCGTGGGTCCGAGACCGTGTTGACATCCAGAGCGCCCACCCCTTCCAGGTAGGGAACAGCAAGAGGGTGGGGTCTGGGGAGCCAGGCTGGGGGCAGGGGAGGGGAACCCACAAGGTACCTGCTGTGGGTGGACAGGGACCAGACCCCGGGGGAAAATAGGCTGGGCACCCCCTGAGCCCCTCTGCCCTCAGATCCTCCTGGCCGGGCAGACAGGCCCGGGGGGCGTCGTGGGTCTGGATGACCTCATCCTGTCTGACCACTGCAGACCAGTCCCGGGTGAGCCTGCTGAATCTGCCCTACCCTGCCTTGCCCTGGAGAGGCACAGCACTCCCCATTCCTGCCACCTGACCCAGTTCTGCCCCCACAGAGGTATCCACCCTGCAGCCACTGCCTCCTGGGCCCTGGGCCCCAGTCCCCCAGCCCCTGCCGCCCAGCTCACGGCTCCAGGATTCCTGCAAGCAGGGGCATTTTGCCTGCGGGGACCTGTGTGTGCCCCCGGAACAGCTGTGTGACTTCGAGGAGCAGTGCGCAGGGGGCGAGGACGAGCAGGCCTGCGGTAAAGGGGCTCAGCCTCCTGCAGACCTCCTGCTGAGAAGCCAAGGGGGTAGGTGCCGGGGCGGGCTGAGGACTCTGCCATTCAGTGCCCATTGCTATTTCAGGCACCACAGACTTTGAGTCCCTCGAGGCCGGGGGCTGGGAGGACGCCAGCGTGGGGCGGCTGCAGTGGCGGCGTCTCTCAGCCCAGGAGAGCCAGGGGTCCAGTGCAGCTGCTGCTGGTGAGGCCCAAGGCCCAACGCTCAAGCCCCCACCCGGGTGTGAGCAGCATCCTTGGAGGAGTCTCTGCTCTCTCTCTGCACTACAGATGGTCTCTGGATTGGGGATCCCTCAGGGACAGAGTGGGGCCCTGGACGAGGCTTTGAGCACCTTGCTCTTCCCCTAGGGCACTTCCTGTCTCTGCAGAGGGCCTGGGGGCAGCTGAGCACTGAGGCCCGGGTCCTTACACCCCTCCTTGGCCCTTCTGGCCCCAGCTGTGAACTCCACTTGGCTTACTATTTACAGAGCCAGCCCCGAGGTACCGCTGCCCTCCACAAGCTCCCTGGCCAGCCCCTGGGTGCTCCCTGCACGGTGGGAGGGATCTGGGGTCGGGTGACCCACAGTGCCCCCTGCCCCGCTGGCCAGGTTTCCTGGCACTAGTTGTGGTAGACAACGGCTCCCGGGAGCTGGCATGGCAGGCCCTGAGCAGCAGTGCAGGTGGCTGGAAGGTGGACAAGGTCCTTCTAGGGGCCCGCCGCCGGCCCTTCCAGGTGAGGAGGGCAGCCCAGAGTGGGGGTTCCACTGGAGCGGGCCCTGACTTAATGATCCTCCTCATCCCCCTACCCCATGAAGCTGGAGTTTGTCGGTTTGGTGGACTTGGACGGCCCTGACCAGCAGGGAGCTGGGGTGGACAACGTGACCCTGAGGGACTGTAGCCCCACAGTGACCACCAAGAGAGACAGAGGTTCCTGCTGCCCATCCTCATTCCCACCTGGGTGCTCCCCCCATACCCCTCCAGGGACCCCGGAGCTTCCACCTTCTCAGGGCTCTGGAGGGGGAGGGGGAAAGGTCTGTGACCCCACCTGGCCCCACCCCCAGAGGTCTCCTGTAACTTTGAGCGGGACACATGCAGCTGGTACCCAGGCCACCTCTCAGACACACACTGGCGCTGGGTGGAGAGCCGTGGCCCTGACCACGACCACACCACAGGCCAAGGTAGGACGGGCGCTCAGACCGGGGGTGGCTTTCAGACAGGAGTGGAGCATCTCTGCAGCTCAGCCCCATGCCCCCTACAGGCCACTTTGTGCTCCTGGACCCCACAGACCCCCTGGCCTGGGGCCACAGCGCCCACCTGCTCTCCAGGCCGCAGGTGCCAGCAGCGCCCACGGAGTGTCTAAGCTTCTGGTACTACCTCCATGGACCCCAGATTGGTGAGTGGACCTGGGAGTGGGGCAGGGCCTGTGGGGAGGCCCCCGGAGGTTCAGAGCCCCCCTCTGACACCCATCGAGGCACAGGGCAGAGGTCAGTTATGGACTGGTTCCCTCCCTGCAGGGACTCTGCGCCTGGCCATGAGACGGGAAGGGGAGGAGACACACCTGTGGTCACGGTCGGGCACCCAGGGCAACCGCTGGCATGAGGCCTGGGCCACCCTTTCCCACCAGCCTGGCTCCCGTGCCCAGTACCAGGTGAGGCCTGGCGCCCGGGTGGGAGGACAGGGCAGGACCCCCCGCCAGCTGACACCCTCCACCCCCAGCTGCTGTTCGAGGGCCTCCGGGACGGATACCACGGCACCATGGCGCTAGACGACGTGGCCGTGCGGCCAGGCCCCTGCTGGGCCCCTCATCACTGCTCCTTTGAGGATTCGGACTGCGGCTTCTCCTCGGGAGGCCGGGGTCTTTGGAGGCGCCAGGCCAATGCCTCGGGCCACACAGCCTGGGGCCCCCCAACAGACCACACCACTGAGACAGCCCAAGGTATGGGGGCCTGGCAGGGGCAGGGATTGGGGGGCTGGCCAGGGGCTGGCAGGCTGATGCTGGCACCTCCAGGGCACTACATGGTGGTGGACACCAGCCCAGACGCACTGCCCAGGGGCCAGACGGCCTCCCTGACCTCCAAGGAGTATAGTCCCCCTGCCCAGCCTGCTTGCCTGACCTTCTGGTACCACGGGAGCCTCCATAACCCAGGTGAGGGGCTTAGGGAGCCCACCCCAGTGGGCTCAGGGAAGCTTGGCCTGGTGTCCCCACCAGCCTTGTGCTGAGGCCACTGGGAGCCTCTTGCGCCCGCGAGGCCGGGAGCCTGGGAGCTCAGACCGGGGCCTGCAGGCGCTCTCCCCACACTGCTGACCGGGGCCGCCCCTGCTGGCAGGCACCCTGCGGGTCCACCTGGAGAAGGGCAGGAAGCACCAAGTGCTCAGCCTCAGTGCCCACGGTGGGCTGGCCTGGCGCCTAGGCAGCGTGGACGTGCAGGCTGAGCAAGCCTGGAGGGTGAGTGCACGGTGGGGTGCCCCTCCCCCTCCCCCTGAGAGCTGCCTGGACCCACTGCGGCTGCCCTGCCCTGCACCCACCAGGTGGTGTTTGAGGCAGTGGCCGCAGGCGTGGCACACTCCTACGTGGCTCTGGATGACCTGCTCCTCCAGGATGGGCCCTGCCCTCGGCCAGGTGGGAACCCTGCTGTGGCCTCAGCCCTGCTCTGGGGCGCCTGCCTAGCCCTCTCCCTTCATGGTAGTGGTGCCTAGGGCTTGGGCCGCAGCACCACTCACCCACCCATGTCCTGCAGGTTCCTGTGATTTTGAGTCTGGCCTGTGCGGCTGGAGCCACCTGGCCTGGCCCAGCCTGGGCGGATACAGCTGGGACTGGGGCGGGGGAGCCACCCCCTCTCGTTACCCCCAGCCCCCTGTGGACCACACCCTGGGCACAAAGGCAGGTACGTGCCCACTGGAGCCAGGTGGGGAGGCGACCCAGAGGCCACACACAGCCACCTGGCTTCCTGCTGCCCACCGAGTACACGCCCCATCCAGAGGAGGCCCTGCCCACTCAGCCTCTGCTAGGGCCCTGAGGGCTGGCTCTGCCCATCAGCCGGGCATCAACCTCCTCTTGTTCCCAGGCCACTTTGCTTTCTTTGAAACTGGCGTGCTGGGCCCCGGGGGCCGGGCCGCCTGGCTGCGCAGCGAGCCTCTGCCGGCCACCCCGGCCTCCTGCCTCCGCTTTTGGTACCACATGGGCTTTCCCGAGCACTTCTGTGAGTCCGGCTGGGCCAACGGGGGCCTGGGCAATGGGGGCAGCAGGGGTCCAGGAGCAGAGGTGGGGAGGTGGCCTCCCACCCCACCCCTGGTTAGGTGTGCAGGAGTCCCGGGACCCCAGGCCTGACACGCCCTGGCCCTGCTCTCAGACAAGGGGGAGCTGAGAGTGCTGCTGCGCAGTACCCAGGGCCAGCTGGCCGTGTGGGGCACAGGCGGGCACCGGCGGCACCAGTGGCTGGAGGCCCAGGTGGAGGTGGCCAGCACCAAGGAGTTCCAGGTGAGGCCGGCTGTCCAGGCCAGGAGCTGTCTCCTCCTCCACCCAGGGCCCACACAGACTCCTTTCCTTCTCCATCAGGTTGTGTTTGAAGCCACTCTGGGTGGCCAGCCAGCCCTGGGACCCATTGCCCTGGATGACGTGGAATATCTGGCCGGGCAGCGTTGCCAGCAGCCTGCCCCCAGCCCAGGTGAGCCCTGGGCTGCAGTGGAGGCACGGAAGAGGGCCCAGGGGGCCAGCCCAGCTCAGGGCTTGCCAGGCTTACCAGCGTGTGGCCCCAGGAGCTGCGAGCATGCTGCACCCAGACAGGACAGGAGAGCTGCCAGGCCCACACCCTGTGCCCTCCCCACTCTCTGCCCCACTCATCCCTGGGGCCACTGCCCGAGCTGGGCTGTCCCTGGGGTACAGTCTCTGGGGCCTGCCCTGCCTGGCTGTGGCCTCTGTGCTCCCTGTGCCCACACCCAGGGCAAGGTCCATCCTGGAGGAGCTGCCAGTCGGTTCAGGGCAACCACTGACTGCTCTCACTTGGTGAGGGAAAGGATCTCACCTGGGGCCATGAGCCCCACCAAGTCTGCAGACAGCAGCTGCCTGCCTGCCAGGCCCCCTCCTTGTGGTGGCAGAAAAAATACCCTCTGCCTTTGAAATAGGGGTGAACCCCAGGAGCCAGCAGAGGCTGAGGGGACCAGGCAGCCCCAGGCTTCCTCCTCAGCCTCAGATGTAGGCGCTACACCCGGACACCAGAACTGGGGGCTGCTTTGGAGGGCTCACGTGTCCCTATGGCCCACAGGGGACACAGCCGCACCCGTGTCTGTGCCAACTGCAGTTGGCAGTGCCCTCCTATTGCTCATGCTCCTGGTGCTGCTGGGACTTGGGGGACGGCGCTGGCTACAGAAGAGGGGGAGCTGCCCCTTCCAGAGCAACACAGAGGCCACAGCCCCCGGCTTTGACAACATCCTTTTCAATGCGGTAGGAGCCCCCAGGGATGGGTGGGCAGGAGCCTCTGTGCTCAGCTGTGACCCTGGAGGGTAGGCACTGGCAGGACACAACCCCCCAGGGAGGAGCCCCCACCTGCACAAGGCCCATCCTTGCCCTCCCTCTCCCAGCCACCACTGTCAAAGCTCCTCCTCCTTCCGGGGTGGCTCACACCTGTAATCCCAGCACTTTGGGAGGTCGAGGCAGGTGGATCTCCTGAGGTCAGGAGTCTGAGACCAGCCTGCCCAACATGGTGAAACCTCTTCTCTACTAAAAATACAAAAAATTAGCTGGGTGTGGTGGCAGGTGCCTGTAATCCCAGCTACTCGGGAGGCAGGGGTTGCAGTCAGTGAGCTGAGATCATGCCATTGCACTCCATCTTGGGTGACAAGAGCGAAACTCCGTCTCAGGAAAGAAAGAAAAAAAACACTCCTCTTCCTCCTCCTAGGATGGTGTCACCCTCCCGGCATCTGTCACCAGCGATCCGTAGACCACCTCAGACAAGGCCCCGCTTCCTCACGTAACATCCAGCACTTGGTCAGACCCTAGCCGGGGACCGGACACCTGCCCTGCCCAGGCTGGGACAGGCTGCAGGTCTCAGGACATGCCGAGGCCTGGGCGTTCCCTGCCCTGTGCTGACTGTTGCTCTGTGAATAAACACCCCGGCCCATGAGGGCGGCCCAAGCTCCCAGGCTGAAGTCAGTGTGTCCACACTTCACCAGCCAGTGAGGGTGGGGGCTGCAGTGTTAAGTGACATGATAGGAGAACATGCTAGGGGCGCCTGCTTGCTTCTGGATGCAGCTCAGGAACCAGAGACAAGGGGACCCTCTCCCACGAGGACACAGACCCACCAGGACAAGGGCCAGGGCAGGGGCTCTGTGTCTAATGAGGACAACAGTGAAACTGACCCACAGCATCAGGAGCGTGCAAAGGAGATGACCCTTAGGGGACACGGTGCACGGGGCAGGCCCGGAGGGAAGAAGTGCCTCAGCTGGGCCCACTCTCTGTGGTACAGGCCTGAGCTGCCCCAGGGACTATGGGTCACAGTGCCCAGGTCACCAGGTGCCCCAGGACTGCAGCTGAGCCCTTCCCTTTGGCTCCCGCGCCTGAGCAGGAGGGTGACCCTGTGAAGCTGTGACCTGGCCTGGGGCACAAGCAGAGGACTCCCGTCCTAACGCAGGGTCAACGTCACTAACCTCAGCTCCCAGAGTTCTGGTCCTCCACGTGGGTGACTCGGACACAACCCCATGGTGAGGGCCCAGTCTTGTGGCCTCTGAGGCCTGGCTGTGGGTGGCTATCCCCTGGGAGGGTGGCGATACCCAGACCTGTGCAGCCAAGCCCCCTCCTGCCCATAGGAAAGCCCTACCCTGCCTCATGAACTCACATCTGCCCCCAGGAGCCATGCGGTGCTGGAGGGCACAGCACGGCACCCTCGCCAGCCATTGGGCTCCTGTCCGCCCTGGGGACTAAGTCCCAGCAGAGGGTGGCGGTCAGGCATGGCTAGCACCGTCCCTCGTCTTCAGGTGCCGTGGGGCTGACCAGTGCCCGCTGTCCACACAGATGGGCGAAAGGAAATGGCCCTGCAGAGAGACCTTCAGAGCCCCCTGGCAGCCCACTCCCGGGCATCAGTCATGAAAATTCACCGGCCTTTCCCACAACTAGGGGCCTGGGAGCTGAGAGCAGGACCGAATAATCTGGCCCCGGCGCCAAAGGCAGGAAATTTTCCCAGCTTCTCTTTAGAGCTACATCAGAGAAAGCAGCTCCCAGTGACACCGCTCCTCTTCCTTCCGCGCCTCTGGCCTCCACCCCTCACCCTTATATAAGGTGGTGCTCAGAGCTCCCTGAGGCCTCTGAGCCACAACTGCTACTGGGCAGACACCCCCAGAACAGGAAGGTGGAGTTCTGCACCCTCATCTGAGGAACGCGACGTAGGGAGAAAAACAGTCAGCAGAACCCAACGCTTTGCAAGGTTTTGTTTGTTTGACAGCAGGAATGGGCTGGGGAGGGTCCCCCACGAGCTGGACCCCTTGTTCCGTTTGGCCGTGAGGAGACCCACGGCGGTGCTGGCGGTCAAGGGGAACCGGCAGAACGAGATCAGCTGGAGCGCACTGATTTCGAGGCTTTGTGTTCATTTCGCCCTAGGCCCCTTCTCGATGGGCTTTCCAATGTCCTTTCCCCGGAGCTTGAGGCCTGAAATGAGCCACAGCCACTGGCCACTGCAGCGCCAGCTCCCTCCTGCCCCCCACGCTGCCCCTCTTCACCATCTTCCCAGGGAAGGGGGGCCACGCCGCTCCCATTCCTCACTGGGCTCTCAACACACAGGCACTCCTGGACCTCACATCTAATTTTCAAAAGGATGAGTCTCATCATCTTAGACAGCAGAGCATGAATACCCGTCTCCGGAAGAACTGGAGCCAGGGGTCCTCTGCGGAACTGGCTTCCGGCCCCATGCTGACAGGGCCTGGACCGCTGTGCTCAGGCTCAGAGAACCATGGCCAACAGCACGGGCTGACGGGAACTGGCAAGGGGAAGGGAGTGGGATTCCACTGCTCTTGGGGGTTTCCTGAGGCCTGCAGAGCCCCCACCACCCCTCAGTCTCTATTGCCTGGAGAAGCAAAGCTCCAGAATTCAGAGAACAGGGGACCCTCAGGGCCATCTTCGTCTCCCGAGTCCCACTCTCACCAACCCCAGCCAGGAGTGGTGGCCTCCCTGTCCAGCGGACCCGGCGAAGGTGGAGGGACACTCACCGATGGCCCGCTCGATTTTGCCCAGCACCTGGTTATTGGGTATGGCCCGTCCGCTCTCATAGTCCGCGATCACCTGTGGCTTCTCATTGATTTTCTAAAGAGAACATGTGCTTTATACACATCAGCTCCACTAGCACTGCTACGAAACCAGGCGCGGAGCGTCGCCTGAGAACACCAGCTTCTGGGGCCCCTGGGGTACGCACCCACACACAGCTGCATTTTGTGCAAGAGGCAGTGAGAGCCGGGTTGACCTGGCTTCCCCAGGCATTCCCTGCAAGGGCACCAGGGGGTGGAGCCTGCCCTCCCCGTGCTATCTGAACTCCGGCCACCCCCGCCCAAGCCCACAACCCCAGGAGAAGTGAGAGCCGGCGCAGCCTCACCGTGGCCAGGTCCTTCTGTGTAAGCCCCTTGCTCTGCCGACCCTGCTGGATCACCTTGCCCACTTCCAGGGTCACCCTGTCATGGTGCAGCTCCTCCGTTTCCCGGTCCAGCTTGGCTGTGTTCTTGGTGATAGAATGTTGTTTGTTCTGGCCAGCAGCCCCTGGAATCGGTGTGAGGCAAAAGCAGAGAAGAGGGTTTGGAATTAACCTGACGGAAAACCGTTTCAGAGTGGTAACCAGACCCCAGAGGCTGCCTGAGCCCAGGGGGACATGGGAACCCAGGCTGTCCCAGGTTCACACACCTCAGGGCATGGACTTCCAGAGTTTTCTCTCAGTTTGCACTCATGCCGACCAGAGCTGCTCTGGGAAGATGGCTGCCTCCCAGGGCTCCAGCCAGCACCGGTGCAGGCAGGCACTCAGCTGACAACCTCCCTGTGGGCACCGTCCACACCACACCCACCAGCACATGGACCCACAGCACAGCCTCACTTTGCAAGTGGAAACACAAGGACCTACATTTCTTGGAAGTCTCCACATCTTCTCCTCGTCTCTGTGCCGCTAAGATAGCCTAGAAAATTAGAAAACATCAGTAGATCTAAAGTAGCTTTGGCAGTGTCCAGCACACACCAATTCAGGCCTGCTGTTAGCCAGTTAGCACACTGCTAAGGACTAGTGGTGCCCAATGACTGATATGCAGTGCTGGGTTCAATTACCCAAGCTCAACTAGGTACTGCAGCTCATGTCTGTAATCCCAGCACTTTGGGAAACCGAAGTAGCAAAATCACTTGAGGCCACGAGTTCGAGACCAGCCTGGGCAACACAGCGAGATCCTGTCTCTACAAAAAAACAAAATAATAAAAAATTGTCAGACATTGTAGTGCATGCCTGTACAGGGAGGCTAGGGCAGGAGGATCACTTGAGCCCAGGAGTTTGAGGGTGTGGTGGGCTATGATAATGCCACTGCACTCCAGCCTGGGCAACAGAATGAGATACTGTCTAAAAAAACAAAACACAACAAAACCCCAAACTCATTATATAAAAACCTCTACAATCAGATGTCTAGGAAATCCACAATAAACTGCTAAGGGAACACCACTTCCTTTGCTGTTGAGAAAGACGCACTAGGGATTTTTTTTTTTTTTTGAGTTGGGGTCTTGCTATGTTGCCCAGGCTGGTCTGGAACTCCTGGGCTCAGCCTCCCTCCTGAATAGCTAGTATGCGCTAGTGGATTCTTTCTGAGAAATCATATTTAGCATAGATTTACTTCTCTGCTGGACTCTACTGCAAAAGTAGGAAGGAACACCAAATGCTGGCCTGGTGTGGCCTTCCTCCCTGAATCTGGCTCCTAGTAACACAAAGATGACACATTTCATGGAAGCCTGCAGGCTCCCCAGAAACATCACCAATTACAGTGATGGTATCTCATCTACAGTCACTGAATATTAATATAATGTATTTCTTGACTTTTTTTTTTTTTGAGACAGTCTCACTCTGTCGCCCAGGCTGAAATGCAGTGGCACGATCTCAGCTCATTGCAACCTTCACACTCCGAGTTGAAGCGATTTTCCTGCCTCAGCCTCCCCAGTAGCTAGGATTACAGGCACCTGCCACCACGCTTGGCTAATTTTGTGTATTTTTAGTAGAGACAGGGTTTCACCATCTTGGCCAAGCTGGTCTTGAACTCCTGACCTCATGATCCACCCACCTTGGCCTCCCAGAGTGCTGGGATTACAGGCTTCAGCCACTGTGCCTGGCTAACATTTCTACCACTTCAGAGAAGTGACTTGTGGAGCATCCTAAGTGTGATGTACTCACAGATGCTGCCACCCAATTATTCCCCGTGACTCCTAGCTTATGGCCATTAAGTTTCCTTTAAAAGGAAAGAAGAATGAATTTGGTTTTGACCATACAACCAGCAAGGGCAGGGCAGACCAATGAATCCCTGTCACCAGAGCCCCAGCACATCCTGGCCCAACTGGCCTCAAAGGCTTCAGCCCTAGGCCACCTGAGAGTACGAATGAGGCAGAGGTGGTGACTAAACCGTCCTCCCTATTACATCAGACTCACAACTGACCCTCGGAAACATCAGCCACACTGGTAATCTCCTTCCACAAGTACTGCTCAGGACACACCCATGTTCCACCCGTGCAACAGGGGGAGGCAAGGTCCACCTGCTCATGGGGTTCCCTGATGCAGGCACTCCCTACAGCCTGTGATGGACCAGGTAGGCTCCTTGGGCAGTATCTGACTAGCGGAGACCAGTAGAACCAAGCAGGCCCCAAGCAAAGAGAAAAGGCTCAAGGAGGAGCCTACCCTCTGTCCCCAACTCCCACTCAGGTCACTAACCTCTGTCCCAGTCACCCGGTCTCCCGCCCCAGGCCCTCAACTGCTGTCCACTGGCCCCCAGCCCTATCCCAACCCCAATTCCCCACCCTCATCGCTGGTTCTTGCCCCAGTCCCCACCCCTGTCCTAAGCCCTGTCCCCGACTCTAGTCCCTGTCCTCCCAAGCCCTGTCCCCAACTCCATCCCTGCCCCCCGTTCCCAGTGCCCACCCTGGTCCTCTGACCCCTATCCTCACACAAGGCCCCAGCCTTGTCCCCGCCCCCGTCCCCACCTCCTGCCTCTGTCCTCACACCTGTCCCCACCAACAGTCCCTGCCCCTATCCCCTTCCCACCCCACCCTGGCACTGATCCCCGTCCTATCACCTGCCCCTTGCCCTGTCCCGTTCCCTGCTCCTCCTCTCCCGCAGTCGCCCGCCCCCTACCTCCTGGGTCCGTCTATCCCCACCTGGGTCCGCCCCCCACCTTCCCACCCCTGTTCTGGCCCGGTCCTCCTGCCACTGCGATGCTCCCCGCCCCTCGAACCCCATCCTCCCCCCGGCACCCGAGCCTTGTCCCCGCCCCCCCGCGCCCCGTCCCGGGCCCCGCCTGGCCTTCCCCGAGCCCCCTGCCCCACGGTCCGTGGCCCCGGCCCAGCGTCCGCCCCGCCCGGCCCGGCCGCTCCTCCGTCAGCAAAGCACCTGCTTGGACTTGGCCTGGGCGGCCGTGGGGCCCTTCTTGCGCAGCACCGTCACCGTGTCCCAGTCGCTCTCGGCCATGGCGGGCGAAGGCGGGCGTCAGTCCGGCGGCTCGGCGGCAGCTGCTAGAGACCCGGCGCGGCGACGCGACGTCCCTTCGGCGCCTCCCCGCTTCCGGCGTCCCATTGGCTGGCGGCACGCGGGGGGCGGGCACTTCCCGTGCTCGGGGCCATTCGGCGTTCGGCTCGTCTGAGGGACGCCGCGGCCGCGCGCGGCTGACGTGGGGAGGGCAACGTTGGGGCCTGGCCTGGCGAGGCGCGGCGGCCGCTGGGGGCGCAGGTCGGGAGGACCCCTGAACCCGGGCCCCGCGGCCTCCCAGCACACGCGGGCGGCGGCTGCGCCTCCCCGGGCCCCGCACCCCGGCCGGGCCACGCGGGCGGAGGAGGCGCGGGGTCTCCGCTCTCTCCCCGGCCGCCCCCCTTTGTTTTGCCGCCTGCGCGGCTGGGACCTGCGCTCGAGGACCAGGGCTGTGGGGCCCGAAACGCAGCGTGGGGTGGGATTCTTTTTAAGAAAAAGAATGCAGGCCGGGCGCGGTGGTTCGCGCCTGCAATCCCAGCACTTTGGGAGGCCGAGGCGGGAGGATCACCTGAGGTCGGGAGTTCGAGACCAGCCTGACCAACATGGAGAAACCCCGTTTCTACTAAAAATACAAAATTAGCTGGGCGTGGTGGCGGATGCCTGTAGTCCCAGCTACTCGGGAGGCTGAGGCAGGAGAATCGGTTGAACCCAGGAGGCGGAGGTTGCGGTGAGGCGAGATCGCGCTATTGTACTCCAACCTGGGCAAGAAGAACGAAACTGCATTTCAAAAAAAAGGAATGGAAGACTATGAAAACATGGGTGGCAAAAATGAATGGTTTTGCATATGTTTATTTTCTGTAACATATAAAGTGTATATGTTGTACGACAATAATTATGTAATACCCTATTTTACAGCTATTTTACAGTTGTTTTGTATAATGAGAAAGGTCGTTATACATTATTATTGAACAAGATTTTTAGGATTTTTTTTTTTTTGTTTTTTTTTTTTTTTAAGATAGTCTCGCTCTGTTGCCCAGGCTGGAGTGCAGTGGCACCATCTCGGCTTCCTGCAAGATCCGCCTCCCGGGTTCACGCCATTCTCCTGCCTTAACCTCCCTAGTAGCTGGGACTACAGGTGCCCGCCACCACGCCCAGCTAATTTTTTTTGTATATTTTTAGTAGAGACGGGGTTTCACCGTGTTAGCAAGGATGGTCTCGATCTCCTGACCTCGTGATCCGCCCGCCTCGGCCTCCCAAAGTGCTGGGATTATAGGCGTGAGCCACCGCGCCTGGCCAAGATTTTTATTTTTATAGACAGGGTCTCACTCTGTGGCCCACGCTGGAGCACGGCAGCGCCCACTGCAGCCTCGACGTCTTGGGCTCAAGTGAAGGGACTGTAGGCGCAGCCCCCGCGCCTGGCTAATTTTTGTATTTTGTAGGGTAGAGGTGGGGTCCCCATGCTGCCCTGGCTTGTTGGTCTGGAACTCCTGAGCTCGTGTGATCCTCCTGCCTCGGCCTCCCAAAGTCTGGGATTACAGGCTTGAGCCACCGCTGACCCTAATCATAGTACTGACTTCTGGGCTTTGAATGGATGAGCTTCCTGTAGCACTGCTGCAGGTTATGCTCCACAAACAAGGATCCTGGTAAGTGCAGTCTCCATCCAAAAAGACAACATAAATAAATGCTGTGTTAAATTGGAAATGCTGCATTACCAAATGCACTCCAGAGAGGAGACAACTGTAATTCTAACCAGGCAGTGGCAAGTTGAGTCTTCTGCTTACCGTTTTTCACACTGGATGACTGGAAGAGTCTTGCGGACCCACTGATGGCTCCGTGCATACAAACCTTGCTTCTCTGCTTCTCACCAACTTCCAGCACCAAGCTCCGTTCAGCTAAGGACTCAACAGCCTCAGACATCCAGCAAGGATGTGACTCAACTGAATGAAAATATCCCTTGTGGCCGGGTGTGGTGGCTCACGCCTGTAATCCCAGCACTTTGGGAGGCCGAGGCAGATGGATCACGAGGTTGAGAGATCAAGATCATCCTGGCCAACACAGTGAAACCCTGTCTCTATTAAAAATACAAAAATTAGCTGGGTATGGTGGTGTGTGCCTGTAATCCTACCTACTCGGGAGGCCAAGGCAGGAGAATCGCTTGAACCTGGAGGTGGAGGTTGCAGTGAGCCGAGACTGCGCCACTGCACTCCAGCCTAGGGACAGTAAGACTCCACTGTCTCTAAAAAAAGAAAGAAAAAGAAAATATCCCATAAACCCTGACTGGATGTATCTCCGCTCAAGTCCCCCTTCGTTGTGTGCCAAAAATGCTTATAGTCACCCCAGTGCCACCAGCCCCCAGGAAGAGTGTGGTGAAGGCGGAGTTGGCCTGGAAAGAGGCAGCCTTGTTAACACTGCAGTTCAGTCCTCCTATGTGACAAACTCAGCCAACACCCGACCTCGTGAATGCATTGGGAGGCCCTTCTCAGAGCCTCAGAGACCCATGCAGGAGGGGCTGAGCTAGCTCCATAGTGAGCCTGGGCGGAGAGACAGGGGACAGCTACATCTAGCTGTCCTCTGCAGGTGTCCACCAGGACAGCTGTTGTCCCATCGGGCCCTCCATCAGGAGTCCAGGCCTGATGCCACAAGTCACTTGTGCCCTGTCCTTGGCACTCCCTGCACCAAGGCACGATGGATACAGGTGTCTGTGTGAGGCTGTCCTCACTGCCCACTCGTCCCACCCTGGGGTCATTTGTACGCACTCCCTCCTATTCTGGGATTCTTCCAACTTAGGGCCCGGAGGAAAGCGGCTGGTATGGAGAAGCAGCTTTGGGAGGCCTGGCGAGCCTCTCATACCTCATTGGAGATGTCACACCACTGTCGGTCTACCAGTTATCCATTTAGCTTTGTGCATGGAGAAAAAACAATTCCAAAGCTTTCTGGAGAAAAAAAAGTCTCTTCATTTCCATCTGTAGATCTTAGTGTCTCTCTGGCATAATTTTCCTCCAGCCTTTCTTAGTTCCTTTTAGTACCATCTGCTGTAGTTTCATCTTTCATTTAACTGCAAATGTCTCTATTTTGCCCTTGTGTTTGAAGGATACACTATTGTATAAACGTCATCCCACTGTCTTCCATCATTGCCAATGAGAATCAGTGATCAGTCATTTGTGTCCTGGTTCCCTAGCAGGTTATGTGACAATGTGACATGTCCTCTGGCTCTTTCAAGACTATCCCTTTGTCTTCAGTTTTCTTTTTCTTTTCTTTTCTTTTTTTTTTTTTTTTTTTTGAAGACAAGGCCTCACTCTGTTGCCCAGGCTGGAGTACAAGGCACAATCATGGCTCACTGCAGCCTCAACCTCCTGGGCTCAAGTGATCCTCCCACCTCAGCCTCCCAAAATACTGGAATTGCAGGCACGTTCCGACACCCGCAGCCTGATCTTCAGTTTTCTTAGCATGTGTTCAAGCGTATTTTCCTTCGTATTTACCTTGCTTGGGTTCACTGAGCTGCTTTTTTATTTTTATTTTTTGAGATGGAATCTTGCTCTGTCACCCAGGCTGGAGTGCAGTGGCGCAATCTCGGCTCACTACAACCTCCGCCTTGTGGGTTCATGCCCAGCTTTTTTTTTTTTTTTTTTTTTTTTTTTGAGAGGGAGTCTCACTCTGTCACCCAGGCTGGAGTGCAGTGGGGCTATCTCAGCTCACTGCAAGCTCCGCCTCCCGGGTTTACGCCATTCTCCTGCCTCAGCCTCCCGAGTAGCTGGGACTACAGGCGCCCGCCACCTCGCCCGGCTAGTTTTTTGTATTTTTTAGTAGAGACGGGGTTTCACCACGTTAGCCAGGATGGTCTCGATCTCCTGACCAATTTTTTTTTTTTTTTTGAGACGGAGTTTCACTCTTGTCACCCAGGCTGGACTGCAGTGACATGATCTAGGCTCACTGCAACCTCTGCCTCCCAGGTTCAAGTGATTCTCCTGCCTCAGCCTCCCGAGTAGCTGGGATTACAGGTGCCTGCCACCACACCCGACTAATTTTTTGTATTTTTAATAGAGACGAGTTTCATCATGTTGGCCAGGCTGGTATCAAACTTTTGACCTCAGGCGATCTGCCTGCCTCGGCCTCCCAAAGTGTTGGGACTACAGGCATGAGCCACCGCACCTGGCCCACTGAGCTTCTTAGGGCTTTATAGTGCCACACATTCACCACATCGGAAACTTTTTCCTGCTACTTACTTATTTAGAGACGAGGTCTCACTCTGTCATCCAGGCTGGAATGCAGTGGCGTGATCACAGCTCACTGCAGCCCCCACCTCACAGGCTTCAGTGATCTTCCTACCTCGGCCTCCTGCCAAAATGCTGCCTTTTGGGAGGCCGACATGGGAAGACTGCTTGAGGCCAGGAGTTTGAGACCAGCCTGGGCACATGGTAAAACCCTGTCTCTATAAAAAAAAATACAAACAATTAGCTGGGCATGGTGATGTGTGCCTGTGGTCCCAGCTACTCAGGAGGCTGCAGTAAGAGGATCACTTGATCCTGGAAGATCAAGCCTACAGTGAGCCGTGAGCATGCCATCGCACTCCAGCCTGGACAACAGTAAGACCCTGTCTCAGTAAATAAATCAATAATAAAAGTCTCACAGGACTGCTTGGATTTTTAAAAAATCAGTGGTCACCCCCTGTCCCTCTGCCCACCACATTCCCAATCCCCAGAGATTACTGCTTCCGTCTAACAGCTGCTTTGTACCTTTGGGTGTTCACCTCCACATGTTTAAGTGACACGCTTACTCCGCTCTCCCTAGTTGTTCTTTTTTTTTTTTTGAGATGGAGTCTCATGCTGTCGCCCAGGCTGGAGTGCAGTAGCACGATCTTGGCTCACTGCAACCTCAGCCTCCCGGGTTCAAGCTATTCTCCAGCCTCGGCCTCCCAAGTAGCTGGGAGTGTTGGGATTACAGGCGCTCGCCACCACCCAGCTAATTTTTTGTACTTCTAGTCAAGATGGGGTTTCACTGTGTTAGCCAGAATGGTCTCAATCTCCTGACCTCA